GAGAGAGAGAGAGAGAGAGAGAGAGAGAGAGAGAGAGAGAGAGAGAGAGGCAGAACTTGTACAGGTAGCAATCGCAGCTTTGTTTTGAGCTCTTGAGGCTGTCTGTCTGTGTCTTTTATCTGTTGCTTTGCATCCGAGATGAGCTCTATCTGACTATATATATCTCTTCAAATACAGACACTTCTCTCCTTCAGTCTTTATCTCTCTCTTTATTCGCTATCTCTTTCGCTTGTCCGTGTTTATTCAGCTCATTTGTTTGATTGATAGTTTGTTTACAAATTTCATTTTCCTCTTCTTAATACCTTTGCGGTATTCACCTGAGCTGCGTTTGTTCTGTTTGTCGTCTTATTCGTTTATTTTTCTCTCTCTCTCTCATCTTCTGAACGCCGGCGCGCCTTTTATTGCGGTATATATAGACATGTACGTATATACATGTACATATATTTATATAGCTAGAAATGAAGAGAGGTATAAAGATTGAGATTGATTTGATTGTTGTTGCTTGTGGAATCCAATCACGTTCTCTGCTGCCAGAGGATGCATGGATGCATAGAGCAGGTTGACGGCTTCAGGTTCTGGGCACACATTATGCCGAGTTACACGTAATTTAAAGTTGCCAGCGCTATGAGCGTGGGCGTGGCAGTTAGTTTGTTGTTATTCATGTTGGCTCTCTTGATTCCCTTTGGAATCGCGTCGTCTGCGCCTAGTCACGGCCGCCCCGATGGCTCCCTGGGGACCTCAAGAGCTTTGACATTGGTAAACTAAATAAACAGCTTTTCAGGGAAAGGGCCATAAATTTGTTGGGGCCAAAAATAATATTGCTGTCACGCAAACAATAATATAAGAAGCCAAACTGTCCAATTTAGCATAAACGATCGTTAGACTTTATATGAATTCAGTGTACGTGTTTCAATTAAGATACAATTTCAGTTAATTTAAAGCAGGTTATAAAATCTCGATTTCAACTTAAATTGGATCAGATTATGGCTAGTATTGAGGCGTAAATTGTTTATTAAATTAGCCGATAATTGCATAGATAATACTAAATAACTGTAATTTATAGCTAGCGCAATTTAGTACCGTTATAACTGCTTTCAGCTGTTGTAGTGAATATATATAGAAGTTGTTCTAGATATAGATCAATAATTTGATATGGGAAAAGTATCTAGATGTGATTTTCTGCAATTAAAATGTTGAAAAGTGAATCTTTTGAATTTGTTTAGAGTTATATGAGAGATATGGGAGATATTCTACAAAAAAGATCCTGAGATCTAGAGGAAGCCTACATGATTCGACTTGTATAAATTGAGCTATTGCCAATTTTCAATTTATTTGAATTTTTTTTTCTTAAGTATCCTGTGGCATCGTTGCCATCTGTTGGATGCTAATTCGTGGCTGCAGTTCCCGCCTCCTGCTCCAGGCTCGTGACAAATGCTCCAGCCCGAAGCTTTTTACACACATATGTATACAGATGTTCTCGCATAGCATAAATATGTCATAAATTATAATAAGCTGGTAGCTGAGATGTCTCGCCGAGCAAATGTTGTTTGTTTGCTGCACATGGCTGAGTGACTTTTGCTGGCTAACCGACTTAATCCCAGGCATCATCCATTATTTGCCATGGAGATTGTGCCACATGGCTAGCATGCCTCCAATTAGAGTTTGGCTGTCCGAAAACAATTCACAGGCTTTATCGCACAGACTTCCTTCCGTTAGGCGAAGGCGAAACGTAACGAAACGTAAATGGAAAAAAGAGAGCAAACATTAGAAAAGGAGCACAATAAATCACGGGACACGGGACATGAAACAATGGGCTATGTGTGTGTGTGTGTGTGTGTGTGTCTGTCTGTCTCCATTTGTTCCTGTCGCTAGACTCGCCCAAAAGCCTTAAAGTGTTTGCCAGCCCAGCACAAATCACACGTGAAGATGTGGCGGGTAAAAACTGCGTAGTAGTAGTTGTTGTTATTGTTGTCCTCGTTGTCGTCCTATCGCAGGGATTAACAAACGCCAGCACCTTCTTAACCTGTGCGCCATTAGCGTAATTTGTTTTGTGCCGCTACGGCGCGCTTCCTTCGAGTGGCAGCCGCAGCATGGGAAACCCGAAAAATGTTGTGCGACGACAGCGAATTCAATTTCTGAGGTCCTGTCCTGTCTGACACTTCCTGTCGGGGGCACTTGCTGGGCTTTGCTGGGCTCGTTTGGCTGAGCTGCGCCGCGGCATCTTTATAATTAGCTAATGAATTTATGGGCATATATAGCATTGCTCAGTGCGTCGTCGCGTCTTTGTACTTGTAAATTGCTGTGAGTTCTGAAGCAGAAACAGAAACAGAACCAAAAACAAAACTCTACAACATTTTCAGAGTTGCGCCATGAAGAAGCCAAAATAATTAACCAGGAATCAGAGTCAAAGGCCAACAGTAGCACAAGTGAGATAAGACACACACAACAGAGAGAGAGAGAGAGAGAGAGGGAGAGTGAGACCACGAACCCGTTTTCGGGCTGCAACCATCAAAAGGCCATAAAAGACTGAGCGAACGGAAGTCGGCAATTGGCTGGCAGTCATGACGACGACGTCGCTGCAACAGAAGCGCCCCAGCATCAGCAACTGGTTCAGCTCGCTGCGCCGCCAGCCCAAGAGCAAGAAGAGCGGCTCGCTGGGCGGCCGCAGCGTCGGCAGCTTTGGCAGCAAGCAGCAGCTGCAGCGCAGCTGCTTTGATCTGAGCATCAATGCCGTCGGTGGCGCCACGCCCACGGGGGATGGCAGCGATCTGCCTGGCAGTCGCAGCAGCAGCACCTTTTACATCACAGCGCCCCCCAGCAAGGTCGAGGAGGATCGCCGCCGACTGTTGGGCAATGCCAGCGGCAACAGCAGCTCCAGCGGCAACAGCAGCAGCAGCACCATCAGCAGCGGCGTCTGTGCGCGCTGCTTTTGCAATTTGGGCAGCCTGGTGGGCAAGAAGGAGCCGCCGAAGAAGCTGCATGTGGACGTCAAGCCGCCGCCGCCCTCGCCGGCGGCCATCTCCACGCCACGCTCGCCCCGCTCGCCCTCGCTGTCGCCGTTCACCAGCGTGGCCACCTACAAGGTGACCTCGCTGCGAGCCGAGAGCCCTCCGCCCGCGAGTCCCACGCTGAGCACGGAGACCGTTAGCTGCAGCGATGTCAGCCGCAAGGTGGAGCTGCTGCGTCTGCCCAGCGAGGAGCCGAACACGCAGCTCTTCAACCGGCGCTCCGAGCTGACCCACACAACCACCACGACCACCACACGCACGCTCATCGTATCGCGGCCCGTCGAGCTGCTGCTCAATGAGCGGGGCGAGATCATCTCGCGGCGTCCGCCCCAGGCGCCGCGCAAATCTCGCTCCAACTCGCTCGGCTGCATGCTGGACGTCGCCGAGGACGGCATCGACAACGAGGCGCTGCAGCTGGACTCTGAGTCGGAGACGCTCAACTCGGGGCTGAGCTCCCCGCTGACGCCTGAGGCGGGCGATTTGCGGTTCATTGACGACAGTTCCAACTCGCATAGCGAATCCGAACGCAACTCAGTCAGCCGGAACCACAACAGCAGCAACAGCAACAGCAACAGCATTGCCGACAACAACAACAGCAGCAAACAGCTGAACAACAATCACAGCAACAACAACAATAATAACAACAACAACAATCAACAGGCGAATCTCTGCGAGAGTTGTCGAACGCTCATGGAGCGCAATCGCAACAATGCGGAGCAGAGCAATGTCGCCATCCTGAGGCGACCGCAGGTATGAGCCAAGCAAAGGGATATCGAATATCGTATATCGTATATCGTATGTCGAATATCGTATATACGTAATGTGAAGTACAAGTGTTTCAAGTGTTTGGAAATCAGTTTGAATTGCGTTCGTACTAAAAATAAAAGAAAGTTTTAGAGTAACTATTGATAGACCGAGTTGAATTTAGTCGAGTGTAAATATATATCTAAGACATAGGTATATCTAGCTAATTTCTCTAACATTTCATGCTCAAATTCACTGATTGATTTTATATTTTGAAGTAATATGAATAACAAATGTAATATCTGTTATATACAGATCTATGCATGTTAATATATCTCATCACATTATTGACAGTTAAATAATTTCTATTTTAAAATATGCTCTGATAAGTCACTCGAGACGTTGCTTGAAGTTCGCTCGCCTTTGTCTCAGCTGCCTCGATACAATTTGCATTGCATTAAAACAGGTTTCTTGATTGATTCTGTTTGTGTTGTGTTTCCTCGTGCCGCGTTCCCACACCTTTGAGTTCGTTGTTTACCTGTCGCCTGCCTGCGTCGCTTGAGTGTGAGTTATTTTTAAAGCTTGACGTTCATTAGCTTTACGTCTGCTGCGCACTATCAATGACCCTTGTCCACCTGTTCTGTTGCTGTTTTGTTGCTCTTTGATTAGCGTTGCCGTCTTTAAGCGAATAGCCCTCGGGCGCTGCTCTCTGCCTGTCTTTGGTGCCTCTCTACGCGCTCCTCATTAACAATTTTCTTCGATTTGATGTGATTTTTCCATGATTTCTCAAATGTTTGCTGTTGGCTCGCGGGGCGTAGCTTGGTAGCTCGCCTTCCGTTAATGGGCACTCCTGTTGGGCATTTAACTTTATTGGATATTCCAAAATTTACATAATTCAGGCCCCTGATCTGCTCACTAATTGAATGGTTGATTTCTATTTCTACATCTTTATAAAGTGAGCAGCGGAAATGGCTCAGGTTACTCAAAGCATGGGAAAGGAGTTGAGAGTCTGAAGTAAAATCCATAAAACTGTCGAGTTATTATAGAATGAAACCATCATATCTTCCACCTTGAGCTTTACATCATTATACATCAATATACATATTTTTAATGCTGATTTGTTTAGTCATTCGGCTGTCGATTAGCTATGAAATTCCTCTTGTGTGACAGGCTCTGCTCTCGGAGAACCGCAGAGAATGCAGCATCGCACGTCAAATAACTATCGAATTGATTGGCAAATGAAATGTAGTCAGAAGGTAACCGCAGCTCGATCTAATATTAGCAGATTCTCGGGGGGTCACTGCGTCGCGTTGTGTGGAGTTCCAAGTGGATGAGCTCATCGCATAACTTCAGACTTGACGACGAATCTGTGAACGATCATTGCCACTGCGGCTCGGCGTGTCAATTGTTTCTCAGCGTATTTAATTGGCATTCCGCTGGCGATTTGCATATATGTATGTACATATAGCTATGTAGAGTATATTTATGGCATATGTTAGACTTGGCAAATGAGTCAGAAGGTCATGGAGGAGCAGTTCAGGGGAGGGGCAATTGATATGTTCCGGTCTCGTGGTGCTCTCGCCAAGTCAAGCGTCAACATGCTGACAAATAACTAGACACTTGAGTGCAGTAGCAGCAGCAACTGTATCTCATATGTGCTACAGATACATAGATAGATACACAGATACATAGATACAGATATACTCATATCGTGCTCGGCGAGTGAATGGCCTCGTTCGTTTCAGTTCCATTGTGTGTTTGACAAATTTGTCACGCCCCCTTGAATTGATCGCATTACAGCCGAGTCGCTGTCGCTGTCGCCGCCTTTGTCTTGACCCCGCTCAAATGGACCCAGGCCGTGTCAGGTACTCGTCTCGGCGCGCGTAATTCAATTAAATCAAATTCGCTTCATTTCTCTATGCGAATTTGTATTTATAGCACGCCAAAATTGTTTCAAGCGAAATAAAATCAAATACCCAATGTGGAGCCATGCAAATGATTCGCACTTGTTTTGAATGCGAAAATGCTGCACTGGCCACAATTGTGAATGATCGAGGCTTGTTGGAAATGTTGTGAATAGTCTTATATGTTTTTATTTTATTTTGTATTTTTAGCAACAATTGTCACTGGCTCATTTCCGCAAATTATACGAGTGTTTGCAGATGCATTCCACTCGACTATTTTTATCTAGTCTCATATTCGGTTGGGCATAGCTGGAGGCACTTTAGCTTCTGCCTGCTGTACATACGAAATCGTGCGGTGTGAAAGTTGTTGAACTCTCGATTTCGTTTCATTCAATTAATTCATTTTGTTTTCTTTGCTTTCGTTTATAGCAAATCAAAGATGAGCTGTGCGAAGTCGTATCGGAAATGGAAGCGCTCGATGTGCCCGAAGACAAGCATTCCAACAAAGATAAACAAATGTCGATTGGGCGGAAAAAGTTCAATATGGATCCCAAAAAAGGTGAGCTTCAAGCGAATATGGATTAGAAATCAATAAGCTAGCGCTAAGACAAGATTTAAGTTTAGGAAGAAAGCAAGCAACTTGAACAGAGATCGATAGGTATACGGTATACGAAATACAACTGAAATGACTCATATGAAATTATTGGGAACTCACCTGCTTACAAAAAGAACTCTGTAGAATTCCCCACAGAACTTGAAATTATTTCCATTCAACAGAAATCCACTAAATTGAGAATAATATATTATGCTCAATATATTCCAGTATTTTTGCATATTTCATGAATAAGTCAAAGACATTTGCTCAACTTTTGTTGAGATAAACCACCCAGGAGACGAATCGGGTGGGAAATGTTAATGTGCGAATGATTTACATGAAATTCCAATGCGATTTCGAGCAGCGTATGGAGCTGAAGTGCTTTATAATTGAGTTGTTTCAGATGGGAGGGGGGTTGCTGCGTGACGGCGCCAAAGAGCATAACTGCCAGGCGAATTTACACTGTCATAATTGCTGGTGGGGGCGGGGCGGGGCGGGGCGTTGCTGAGCGTCGGGCACGTTGGCCCAATGATGATAATTCCAAAGTTAATTTAATAACGTAATGAGCCCGAATGATGAGATGCAGCGCATGCAGCGCAATGCAGCGAGAGTCTTCACCCACCCGGGCGCAATCTTAAAACGCTGACAAATTTGACAGTTCGTTGACATTTGTCGTACGTGCAGCGCAGCCGGGATGCCGGCGCGGGAGTGCCTGGGCGTTTCATTTAATGGAAATGTCAATGTCGCAATATTCTTGAGATCCGAGCAGAGCGCGCCGAGTGACGGGCCGGACAAGGCCAAAGATGCGGGCGGCACAGTTGGCGATTACAAGCACACAATGTCATCGATATATCACAATATACAAAGTGAATAATGGGCCAGAGAGAGGGTAACATTTGAGAGTTGGTAACATTGAGAGTTCTATGTGTATCTATGGGCTATAGCTGGCACTGCTGTTTACTTAGTTGATGTCCCTCTTCCATGACACAATTATCGATAAATCGATTCGATTGAGAAATGAAATTCGATATGTCAACAGGGTTGGGTTCCGACTCTGGCTCCGGTCTGGTATTCCCCCACTTTCTGCCATATAAATATATTTATAGATGAATTATGAGTTTACATAAATAGCTGCTTGTACTTGCCTAACCTGCTCCGCATCGCATCCCTGGTGACCCACATATGGAGCACTCCCCCTGAAAGATCTTTGCTCTAAAATGCGACCCCGTTGCTGTCGCTGTCGCTGTCGCCCCGTAATTTAAGAGCCAATCAAATATTTTCATCGACCTCTTGGCCATAAATTAGCGTTGACTAGTCCAAATTGGGACAGGCAGGCATCGGGCCTCTGTCGACGTCGCATCCTGCGTCACATTCAAAACAATAAAAATGCTAATCCACAGTGAAGTATTTGTAGTAAGTGGCGTGAAGTCAGCGACCGGCCGCTGGCAGTAACAAAGTGGGAATCGAGTCCACTTCGGGAACCGAGGTGCTTATTAAAAACATGTGAAACATTCCCTGTTGGGTGGTTCGGGTGGCTCGGGTGGTGCGCTGAATGCGGATATTTTACAGGCCATCGCCATTTGTCGCTTTATCGCCCGATTATCAACAGCAGAGCTGTCGGGCGGGGCCGGGGGAGACACATACTCACGCACACACACTTAAATTAATGGCCCACAAATGTGCCATACATAACGCATCGACGAGGGTATTGGTAGGCGGCAGTGGGCGGGGCTTAAACGCCTTGCTGATGCTAATCGCGTGTGATGCGCGGCTGACAAACAAACACGAAGGCAAAAAAAAAATGAAATAAAATGGTTTTGCCATCGCCTGACAAACTCCTGCTACGGGCGCGACTCCTTTGTCATTATCCGTTGTCATTTCGCATTATTGTTGTCATTGTTATTATTGCTGTTGTTTGTGGTTGTTGTTGTTTTTGTTGTTCCATATATGTATGTATGAATTCGCATTGCCAACAACGCACAACAAAAGCATCAAACTGAAAAGCCAATCTGTCTGCGATTGAAGCAATAGCGAAAATAAAGGAAAAACTTGTTACTTGCTGTGGGCAGGGCGAGGGGCGTTCATAGTGTTGCCTAAAGTAGTTGCTGCTGATTAAAATCATAATTCATAAATTGCAATAATTGCACTTGTATTTTGTTATTGAATTCTCAATATAAAACTCCTTCAAATTTTGCAATATTTAGTAAAAGTTTGAAAGCTAAAAAACGTTAAAAAATATATTAATATTGATATACAATATAAAATATGTATATCTATATAATATAATATATACATATATAATATAATAATAATAATAATATAATGTAATAATATAAAATATATTTTAAAATTCTAAATATAGTTTAGGGGATTTTAAGTTTCTTTGCTGAAATAAATCCCAAACTTATTTATTTCAAATCTCGTAAAAATATATATTTATTGATATATAATAGCTCTTCCTATGTGGGGAATTTAAATATAAAAATATATTTTCATTCATTAAGTCTCTAAATAAGTAATTACAATAAATACTGATAATTGTAATGCATTATTTATAGATTAATGATTTATTATAATCATTAAAATATACTTATTGTAAAACTTAATTAATATGTGAATACGTGAGTCTATCTGCAAATGCTTAAACTATTATAATTCCTCTTTGTGTATGATGACTATTCTCAATAATTCCATACATTTCTCACTTTGATTACACTAGTTCTATATTCCTACCATTCCTTCCTAGTTGCACACGTAATAATCAAAGTCTTTACCATCTAAACGACGCGAATATATATTTTGGTTTTTGTTGTCTGACGCCAGCTATCGTTGGATCGCATAGGACTCACGCGATTGGCAAATTTGTTCGCTTGTCGCATATTTGGCGCTATTTGTTGTTCGGTCCTAATGCGTTTTACTTTAATTCCTGGAGCGCTTTGCTTCGTTGCTGTCTTCTCTTCCGGCTTTTATCGCAAATTGCTGGCCCGCGCGCTTTGATTGGCAAATAATGACATCGATGTCTGGCGCTCCCTATTTGATTTTATTTATTTCTCTGCTTCTCTTCGTTATTATTGTTGAGATTGCTGCGGTTCATATGTTGCGGGTCGCTGCCGATTACGACCTATATGGGTGGATGATGAGTGTGTGGCTTGGGCTGCATTTGATTCGACGCGACTTGAGCTTCCGGCTGCGTCCTTATCTTATCTGTTGTGACAGCAGAGCAGCAGAGCTGCCGTCGAGTAGTGCATAATATTATTATTTAAAGTCCTTGAGCAATTTACTGAAAGTCTAACAAATACTCTTATCAATTGCAGGCATTGAATATCTCGTGGAGAATCGACTGTTGCGCCACGATCCCCAGGATGTGGCGCACTTCCTGTACAAGGGCGAGGGCCTGAACAAAACGGCAATAGGTGAGTGGCCATGGCCCGTGGCCCGTGAGCACAGCTCGTAAATTGTTGGCCCAGTGCGACGCCCGCATGGGGGCAAAATTCAATTAAAACTCATAATGCATAACATAAATTTTCATGCTCATTTCTGTTTGAATTTCCAGGCGATTACCTCGGCGAGAAAAACGATTTCAACGAGGATGTGCTGAAGGCATTTGTGGCCCTCCACGATTTCACCAATCTGATACTGGTGCAAGCTCTAAGGTTAGCACTCCACAGTCAAGTTGACCTCAACATTTCTCAACTCTCTCTCTCTCTCTGTATGGGAATTTTCACAGGCAATTTCTGTGGTCGTTTCGGCTGCCCGGCGAGGCCCAGAAGATCGATCGAATGATGGAGACATTCGCCCAGCGCTACTGCCAGCTGAATCCGGACATATTCACCAACACGGATACCTGCTACGTGCTCAGCTTCGCCATTATAATGCTCAACACATCACTGCACAATCCATCGGTGAGTACTCCAGTGATGCATGATGCTGATGATTATCGAAAGAGCCTGGATGCGCAAAAAATATCAAAAATAATTACAGTCGAGTGTAGATAGTTCGAAATGGCAAGGGAATCAGTTAATTTTCTTTTTGATTTACATAGGAATTCTAATTATCAAATTATCTATTTTTTTTACAAATTATCGAGTCTTTACTGTATTCGAAAGTTGATAATATAGGCATTACATTATAAGTAGAAGTCTGACACATATAATTGTTGAATATAGATTCTCAAAATTATAGGCCTGCATAGGTTAGATGAGTCTATATGAATCAATAAGCAGTAAAAACGAATAGTTCTTATAAAATTCCCTCAGGAAGACTTGTATAACGGCCGAAATGATTTCGTCCCATATATACAATGAAGTCTACAATGCAAGCCTTTACTTAGAAGGAAGTAGCGGATTTTTCCCCTAACTTTGAATCTCCTTAGGGATAGATGAATCTAACGACCATTCGAATTTACAACTTCTACAAACTCAAATACAGCTCTAACAAAAATGATTTCTTCTATTCTTTCTTCTATTCCTTACTCAATTCACAAATCGAAATATATTTCTGCTGCTCCTCAATCACTTTTAAATTGTGTGCTTCAAGTATATTTTATTTTGTTGTGCGACTTTCAAGCGCTTTAAAGAAAGTTTTAATATCCCGGAAAAAATGGTTTGGGAACTTTTTTAAAGTGTTTTTGTTGGCAGCAGCAAATTACAGTTCAGTGTCATGGTTTGCGCACCGGAAGTGTTGAGGAGCGACAGGAAGTTGTGTTTGTTGTTGCCGGCACTGTGGGCGGTGATTCGTCGTTGGTTGAATGTGCCAAAACCCAAACAAGAAAATCAGAAAATAAAATATAAAAAAGCTAGCGAAATGCACGTCGCGTGGCCCAAAACTGCGGAATTGAATACTTTGTCGCCTGTCAGGCAGCAATTATTGACGGTCCACATGACGCATTTCCCCGTTTCCCCCCTATTTCCCATTTGCCATTTCCCAGCAGCGAGAGCAACATTGCGCTCGAGCAATTACAGAAAAAAAAAAATAAATAAAAGTGTTGTGCATTGGGCTAAAAATAGGTCAAGTCTAACGCATTTCACACGAGCTGAAATCGTTGGGCGGCCACTAATTGGGCTCTGGCAGCTTGTAAAACGATCTCAGCAGCACGAGCGGCACATAAAATGTTTCCCTAATTAGTTATTATTGCGCAATTTGGTTGTTGCACAACGGCGGCCCTATATCAATTTAAATTTCAATTTAATTTTCATTTTCATTTTCATTCTCATGTCGGTTTCAGGTCAAAGACAAACCCACCGTGGAGCAATTCATCTCGATGAATCGTGGCATCAACAACGGCGGTGATTTGCCCCGTGGCCTGCTTGAGTCACTGTACGAGTCGATACGCACAGAGCCCTTCAAGATACCCCAAGACGATGGCAACGATCTGATGCACACCTTCTTCAATCCCGACAAGGAGGGCTGGCTCTGGAAGCAGGGCGGCAGGTAACTGGAAGGCATTGCGTTCTAGGTAGTTCTTAAGCCATTCTAATAGCAAACCTTTGCACAGATACAAATCGTGGAAGCGACGATGGTTCATACTGAACGACAACTGCCTGTATTACTTCGAGTATACCACAGATAAGGAGCCGCGCGGCATAATACCGCTCGAGAATATATCGGTGCGCGAGATACAGGATCGCAGCAAGCCGCATTGCTTTGAGCTGTTTGCCACCGGCGGCGCCGATATCATCAAGGCATGCAAGACTGATTCCGAGGGCAAGGTGAGTGAATTGAATCGCATTCCATCGAGTCTCACTAAACTGATCCCCACATCGATTGATCTGCAGGTGGTAGAGGGCAAGCACACGGTCTACCGCATGTCGGCCTCGACGGAGGAGGATCAACAGGAATGGATCAAGCGTCTGACACAGTCCATCAGCCACAATCCGTTCTACGATATTCTGGTACAAAGGAAAAAGAAGGCGCTCAGCAAGAGTTAGTATTAGATCGGCTCGGGATGGGCGTGACCCCGATGGGCGTTACTCTTGTATTGGATCTCAGTGGAATATTGCTGCGTGCGCTTGCGTCTGCGTCTTGATGTGTGCGTGTGTGTGTCTGTGAATTGCCCACAGTAATCTCGTTGTATGCGTGTGTGCTTCAGTGTGTGTGTATGTATATGTATATATATATTATATGTGTATATTGAATAATATTTAATTGAATATTGTCTTTGTTATTTGGTCGAGCCTCGAAAGCTGTGCGCACAAACACATATCAGAGCTCACACACGTATCACGCACACAGACACACCCGCACACACACAGACACCATCTTTGTCTCTATTGTTGTGATATAAATTATTTACATTAAGCAAATGAAAAACAAAAAAAATGATAATTTACAAATTGGCAGCAAATACAAACTGTTAAATCGAATGAAATACAATTTTCAATTAGTGCAAATTATGTTATGTTTAGTCTTCGAATATGTCTTCAACCTAGCATTAGTATCTGAGAGTTGCCCTCACGATCCCCCACCCCATATTGTTTAACGTCTTTAGTGCTATGAAACATATCCCAGCAGCCTGTTAAAATTAATTAAATGCTTGGCAATTAATATAAAAGATTATTGTGAAATTATTACACAAATGCCTTTCAAAAACTTTATTTCAAACAACGAAGAAAAAATGATGAAAAAATTAAATTTAATCATATTATATTGGTTTATAAGAGACTAGAAAATTAACATGGACAATACAAGCAAAGAAACATGCATTTCACCTATGAGCATACACATGTCAGCTAATAGGTTATACGTCAATAGAGTTTAAGCTCTGTTCCCATGTGTCATTAGATAATGCTGAACCAAATATCTGAACAAGAGGAGGTGCCAAGAGGCCCACGACTGAGTAGAGTTCGAAATGTTTTGTTTTCGTCTGTGTTGTTTGTATCGTTAATTTGATCAGTTTAGTAATGAAACGAAATGAAATGAAATGAAACGAACCAACCGCAAAGTGTTCCTGCCAAAATAAACGAGAAGAATAATTGTATAATTGTAATATATAATAACTAAACTAATTGTACACTCTCTATGTATAGCGTTCGCTTCATGGAATACGCAGCCCAAATGGCAAAACTCTGCGTATAATCATCCGGGTAGATTTGTTTTAAACACTATCTGATCTATACCGAACTAGTTTATTTCCAATATCATTTAGTATACCTAGACATTTTGATGGGGCCCAGTTGTAATAGCTCAAACAGAAAACAAAATGAGAGTCCCAAATATTTTTTGCAATATTATGAATAAACTATAGAGAGTAACCCTTACACTATTATATGTACTATATCAGAAAATTCTACACTTATTAACTTTTATATCAAACATTCATACGCCTACGCACCATTCGTATTATATTTCCTTAGCCTAACTGCAATTACTATTTAAGCAGGAGATCGAATTGTCTGTACTATATATACACACATACATAGCCATACATATGTAGATATATGTATGTAAGAAATACAAATAATGTGCGTTTTAGCATTATGAAAAAACATTATTCATTTATGGGTGTGTACATACATATATTCATATTCAAAGCCTGTACATACATATTTAGTGCGAATATAAATACATTACATATTCTAAGTATGCCAGTAGCCGTTATATAGACATACATATATAACTCGTAGCTTAAATAACAATTTTGTATTGCTTTAGCAGTAACTGAAAAAATTATACCTATATAAACTATTAAAATATACGTATTCATATAAAGTGAAAAATTTTTTATTTATCCAAACTGATTCTGTGCAGATAGAACAAATATATATTTCAAAATTATTGAATCGAGACATTTACAGTCTTCTTACAATGTCTTGGCTTCGCATATGTAGTTTAGGTTAGCACCACAGTCTTCATCGTTGAGTAAAGTTCTTTTGATTTCGACGCAGAACTCTTCGCCAAAAAGATTGTTGGGTTCCCCTTCCTGCCATCTCAGATAAGGCATGGCCTCACCTGCGGCAATAGAGATCCATACTCTGTCCTTAGCCAGGCAATTACCTGATGTCCAATATCTGCTAGATGGGATGACCGATAGGATCACATCCATTTCCGTGCTGCTCTCAATATTGAGCAAGTGTCCTCCCAGTTTCCGGCAATTGTGCGCCGCCTGATGCCAGTTGGCCTTCAAATTGGTCTCAGCACGGTAGAACTTGTTGCCAATTTGAATGGGGAAGTTAGTTTGATATTTAGACTCTGCATCCACATTTACGACTGCAATTGAATAATTTATAGACTCTGATGCTGTATCAATAGAAATATTTACCTGTGCGATTCGACTCGACAAGCTGTGATGGGTCTTCGACAATGAAAAGATCCGGAATTAATGAAAATTGTGAGTTTCAGACATGATTTATTAAGGAAAATTTACCCGTCGGAGTTGGCATGGCAAAGTCCCACAATTGAAGAACGATTAGTAGCAACAAAAAGTTATTTCTCATCGTGCTGCCTTTAGTCCAAGTTATGACTGAATGAGCAATGTCTTTCGTATTTATACTATTCGACTCTGGCAAATTTTTGATAATCAGCTATAGAAAGGGGAAAATAATCAACAATTGTGAATTGCGGATTATAAATCTTCACATAGAAGTTAACTGGCTGATTGGATCGGAAATATGTTCATTATCTTTATTATCCTCACGATGTGACTATATAAGATCGCAAGACCGATTGATCTTTATTTTCATATTGGCTAATATGAAGATTAAATGTATAATTCGGACATCCTAAAATACTAATTAGCCGGTTCCCATGAACGATTATTTTCTTAACAAACCAAAAAATTTTATATTTTGTATTTAGATAACTTGGGAAATTAGGTTCATAATTATCCTCCTTTGATTTGTTTTGCACTTGAATAAACTTAAGATGACTATCTTAAGATAGTATCCTATTCTCTGTCTAATATGGAATAGCCTCATTTATTTCAAACATATATGGCTCCAAAAAAGTGTTTATATACCCTAGTTTTATTTTAAATACACTTCGGAATTTGGTTTTATTAGTAACCGTTATTATTTGATCGACTAAGGTTCCGCGCTATAAATATTTTGTTCCGTTTAATATAAAAAAGGTAATTAATCTGATCGTCTATGTATAGCAAATGAGAGTGCTATAGATTATTAAGGTACTGTACTTCTGGAGGAACTTCCCTACGAAGCGCTAAATTTACAACCACATTAAACAATTACTTTGGCAATTTATGGCAAGCACTTGACACTTTCTTATCGTGGTCATTGATAGCTTCTCGTATTTGGGCAAAATTGTATAAATACTGAATGCATTCTAGGAGTTTGAGTTTAGTCAGAGCTGGCCCGATTGGCAAATCCAAGCAGAATGAATGTAAAAATAGTTGTACTCTTGATTTCAATGCAATTGGCGGATTTCGGAATGTCGCACGAGACACGTGAGTATATCATAAAAACCTTAGGTTTAGAAGTAGAACTAATACAATTTCGTTTTTAGCTAACCTTTTTGCTCAAAAGAATGATTTGGGTAAATGCGTCAGCAGCTGCGGAGATTTCCCGATCAAAATTGGCAGTAAGCTCTATAAAATCGAGACCAAGTTGAAGGAGAACTGGTTTTCGGCAGCGGAGAGCTGCCGCAGGTGGGGCGGATATTTGCTGAACATCGAGAGCGCCACTGAAATAGAATTGATGGTATCGATTACTAACTCGGATCGGTTCTGGGTATCCGCGAACTGTTTGGCCCAAGATAGAAACTTCATTTCAATAGCAACTGGAGTGGCCATGCCCTACAGCAGCTGGGCTCCCGGACAGCCGGACAATTCGGCTGGCAATGAATACTGCGTTCAAGCAGCAAAAGCCGGACTATCCGATGAGCCCTGCGAAACTCGCCTCAACTATGTGTGCCAAGCGAACATACTATAGACAGCCTATACCTAACGGCATGATCACTAGAATATGATACAAAGGTCAATAAAGTGTAACATATTTAAATTGTAATTTGTAAAATTTGTCGAAAGTAAATACATGAATATTACCAATTATACTTTTCTATAATATATGTATATATAATAAGTAGATGTACTTTTTGGGGCACAGTACACTACGATTTCCTATAGAATATATGCATTCTTCAGCTCGAACATTGGGAAATGGGATATTGTATTGATAAAATGGTATGTAATACATATACATATGGAACCTAAGCATGAAAACTATGTTTATAGAGAGTGAGTTACATACAGTACATACAGTTGACGACTGCAACATATTGCCAGCAGAAATTAAAAATTTGTATTAAATACCAAACAGCAAATAATTTCAAAAAAATAAATATTATCAATAACTATTCTGTATATTACCCAATTTTTCTAAGCCCAACAATAATATGGTTTTATTAAGGCAGTAATTCTGTCTAGTTATCAGTTAAGAAAACACGGGGTTTGGTTAACATGACTAATCCTAAGTAGTTTTTTTTTTAATCTTCTACAAAAATAATGCCCAACTAGGTCATAATCTGGTCATTTGTTTTTTAAATTGTCAATCTTGTGTATCCTGAGAAATTAATTTCTGATAAATAAATCGTCCATATAAAAAGATAATGAGTCCAATCCTACGGGTTTTCCGATCCAATCAGACAGTTAATTCCTGGCTGAAATATTTATAATCCGCAATTCACAATTGTTGATTAACTTCTTTTTATAATGCTGATTGCTAAGACATTACGAGTCGAAGAGTATAAATACGAAAGCCTCTGTCCATTCGGTCATAACTTGGACTTCAGGCAGCACGATGAGAAATAACTTTTTGTTGCTACTAATCGTTCTTCAATTATGGGACTTTGCCATGCCAACACCGACGGGTAAATTTTCCTTGATAAATCATGTTAGAAATTCTTAATTTTCATTAATTCCAGATTTCGTCATAGGCGACGACCTATCACAGTTTATTGATTCGAATCGTACAGGTAAATAATTCTATTGACAAAGTACCACAGTCTATAAATTATTAACTTGTAGTCGCAAATGTGGATGCAGAGTCTAAATATCAAACTAACTTCCCCATTCAAATTGGCAACAAGTTCTACCGTGCTGAGACCAATTTGAAGGCCAACTGGCATCAGGCGGCGCACAATTGCCGGAAACTGGGAGGACACTTGCTCAATATTGAGAGCAGCACGGAAATGGATTTGATCCTATCGGTCATCCCATCTAGCAGATATTGGACATCGGGTAATTGCCTGGCAGAGAACAGAATATGGATCTCTATTGCCACTGGTGAGCCCATGCCTTATCTAAGATGGCATAAAGGAGAACCCAACAATCTGAAGGAATTATGCATCGAGTTGAGGGAAACAGAGCTCAATGACGTTTTTTGTGACACAGTACTTAATTATATATGTGAAGCGAGGACAATACCATAATATAGTAAATAACGGCATGGCTAGCGGGCTTCACTGCTATGATTAAATTATAAACGTAAAAATAAAGACCAGTCTATTCAAAACTTCTACTTCTACTATAGAAAAATTTTGTACGCAAGAAATCTATGACCACTGGTCAGTGCTATGACTTAATGATTACAGCTTGAAAGTTTTATCAGTATATTTTACAGTTTATTTATCAATATTGTTAATCCCCGTCTTTTCCACTTGCAATAAAAGTTCCTGCAGTTTATTGTCAAACAGTTCACATCGTATGGGCATCTCTAGTGAATAAAATGGATTTTTGAGAACATAGTCTGAATACAGCTCATAGACTTTGCGCAGCAAGAGGTCCATGCCGTTTAGACCCGTTTCCGAGATCACAATGAACTTGACACCTGTCAGCGTTTGAAAGCAATGTAACGTAAAGGTGTCCGCTTCCAACAGCTCGATGCCTGAGCTCTTGGGCTCTGGACTCAGTTGGCTGGCAATAGCAAACAGCGGATAGAACATACTTGCGAGAAATATTTTCTCGTTTGTTGTCATCTTGGGGCGACTAAACTTGAGGTTGATAGGAAAATTGTCTGCTGACTCCAGCATGGTCTTCACATCGCGACCATCCTCCAGCGTGGCACCATTCACTGTCATGCCATTAACGGCGACCAGAACATGTCCCACTGAAACACAATGTGATTAAGCAGAGGAACGTAAGGAAAAAAGGCAACACCTACCGTTGATACCATCCTTGCGGTTGAATGCCACGGAAATTTTTTTGGGGTCGTAGTCGAGCACCAAGTCCAGTGGATATGTGAATGTCTTCTCATGCTCTATTCGTGGCACATTATTGTCCAGATTGAATATAAGACCACCGGATTTGCTAACTATATACACTCCATAAATAATCATTTTTGTTTTATGTTCGAGAAGGCGTCAGCTGATTGTGAGACACCAAAATAAACTTTACATTGTGTTCCACTGTTATTAAACAGTAATACACTGAAGAAAAAAACGGATATTGTTGCGCTTAGTTTTCAGAGTTGAGGATTACTCTTTGGTTGTTACAAGTTAATTTAGTTTTAAATGGATAAATTCATTTAGCAAAGGGTATGGGAATTAAACTGTACAAAATTTAAACTGAAGGTAATTCAATGGAAAATGTTAACAGTGCCAATGTGAGTCAACTATCGATAGGCTTACAGATACCATATATATTATTCACGTGAGGCACAAAAGGAAGCTGCTAATATAATTATTATTGTTAAGAATATACCAAGCATGGCCATTACCATAGCTATTTAAAACTGTCAACCATTTATTTATAGTCTTAAGCTATTCGCCCACTTCAATTTTCACGTTATGCCGATCATTTTTGAAAATAGCGGCAAACAGAAAAACTTGATATCGATATCGATCTCTTATCGCGGTAGTTTCGCCGAACTATCGGATTATCCAAAAATTATTATATTAATGTTCGCGGTATGAAAAAGATTATGTTCAAAATAATACTGTAAAAAGTTTAAATTTTAATGATATAATCGCACTAATAATTATTATCTGCCTTAGTTATTTGCTTGGTTGAGATCATAACTATTAATTAATTTTAATTGGATGTTCAAAAGTCAAAGATAAGAAGAAGAGCAATAGTACTTCAAATTTAATCACTTGATTTTACTTATCGAACAGTCGTCTATTACTTACTGATTAATGCAATTGTTTCACTCCAGTAGGCCCAGCAAGAACATGGCAATTAATAACGCAGATCCATGCCAAGGCTATCAAAGGTCACTGTCACTTGCAATACTGATTTGCATGCTCGGTAATATTGCTTGGACTTATCTAAAAAAAAAAAAAGAAAAAACAACTTTCAACTGCCCGTTCAAGCATCACTTGCATCATACGGCGCATGTGCACTGCGGCTATCCATAAGTCAGTGCTTCATAATATAAACATAAATCGCATTGCTCTTTCTTTATTCAATTTTTTGTCCCGCAGTTGAACTTCAGCTGCAGCAGCATTTGCTCCAGTTAGCGGCGCCTAAATAAAAGTAATATTCATAAACCGTCACTAAAGGTGTTCACACACTCACATACATACATACACACATGCACACAAATCGACTCTGTCACACCATACACATTTGTTCAAACTGTATATGCATACATACATACATATGCTTACGTTGAGAATTGAACTCTATTTGTGAGTAAACAAATGCTCCTCATTCATGTGACTGTCTCCGCGAGCGTCAATTCCAAATCGTTTTGCCCAAAGGTAAGAAGTCTCTCATTTATATGCATATGACACTCTATTCGGTTGTTGTTGTTATTGTAATACAAAATACATTGATTTAAATAGCACACTCTGTGGTTAAAATCAATGGAACTGCTTTGAACGCCAGCGTCAATTACTACGAGCTGACAGCACCGCAACCACTGCAGCCTAGTGCGTCCATCGATATTGTGCTGCAGGAGCAGGCTCAGCATGCTATAGTGGACATGGCTCGATTCGACAAGGGCAAACTCATCGCCAAGGCGGCCAACCTGACCTCCATTCGCTGGGCCCATGCCGTCAACAGTCAACAACTCCTGGCGGAGGCTCTTGGCGGTAAGCATAGCTCTGCTCTTCCATCAGCCCAATTTCTTCTTACGAATCCACGCCACTTAACAGGTGACATTGATATGATTGAGGCCGACATTGTGCTCGGTCAGCTGAACGGTGAGGGCCTCGTCTTACCGGTTATGGCACACCCACCGGCAAATACTTCGGACTTGACACTGAAGGACTTTCTGAATCAAATCAAGGCACACAACGAGGTCCATGAGGGCGCCGAGAAGGGCGTTAAATTGGACTTCAAGTCAATTGAAGTATTCGAAGGATCGCTCGGTATACTGGATGAGAGCATACCTAAGGTAATCCAAACTATGAAGCAATATGACAAATGTTAAATAGTCAAATAATCCTTCAGATGACCTATCCCATTTGGATAAACGCTGACATTATCAGTGGCCCTGTAGAACAAAACAGCAGCGTGCCTGTGGATCCGCCAGCCTTTTTCGCCGGCTGCATGCGCTACAAGCAGGCCGTTCTATCCATTGGCTGGACTACCAACTGGGGCGCCAATTACCGGGAGGGCGAGTACACTCAGGCGCAGTGCGATGCAATGCTGCAGGCCATCAACGACAACAATGTGACCTCCACCGGACAGGTGATAACCTTTCCAGTAAGAGCCGGAATCGCAGCTAACAGCGGAACACAGCTGCACAATCTAGTCTCAGCTGTAAATGCAACCAATGAATGCACCTTGACCATTTGGTCTTCAAACGGCGATTACGTCAATGTGGCAGAGCTGCGGAAGCTAATATTTAGTTTCGGGTTGGATCGCGTCTACTTGGATGTGCCAGAGGAGCTGTCCTCACAGTTGGATTTACACAAGACAGGTAACGGTGCTGGTACCTTCAATTCCCTGGTTAGCTTCAGCTTCATCAGCCTTTGCTTCTGGGCCTTCTCCAGCTGGTTGAAGAGCGAATAAACAAATTCCTGGGATTTGGTAATGTTTTCTGTTTTCTTTTGTTTAATTCAATTTCATTTTCTCGAAGGTTTGGGTTTATTATGTTATCAATGTATTATTTTCACTGGAGAATGCTTTAAGAATATGCCTTTAGGCTTTGTATATCACTTCATTCGCGTTGTATAAAAATCTTGTAATCGCTTTACAAAGACAAAAATAATTATGCACTAATTTTAAATATTTATAATATAATATATAAAAATACTTTGGACGTGCGCAATTTTAATTTTAACAATGGGATTGACGGCTATCGACCTAGGATAATCACTTATATACAGAGTTAAGTTAGCCTACTAAAATAATTAAATGACTTTTGTTTGGGGTTTCTTTCACTTTTTGGCACTAATTAATAAATAATCTTATCAATCTCTCTCGATACTCCTGCTATTTACTGAGGTAACCTTGTGAGCATGATGTGTGTGTCTCTATTTCTAGTGTTGCTCTATGTGTGTGTGTGTGTGTGTGTGTGTAACGTGGGATACTTAATGTATTTAATGTTATGAATTAAGCAACTCGACTGAAGACTGACAACTCTTAACTAAGGTCTGTTGAGTCTTATTGGCGAGACTTGGCGCAGTGCTTGTCTTTGGCTCCCCTAAGGCAACATATAGGTATCTATATATACATATATATAACAACGATAGAAATGCTGAATGCATTACGTTAGCTAATTATCACATCTGTTGAACAGCTCTCAATCAGGCGATCTCTAGACGTATTGCCGTGGCTACTTCCGTCGTCGCCCTCCTCAATCCCTGAGCTCCGCCTGTAATCTAACAGGCGCACGCCCACGCGCTCGTTGTGGCTGGGATTCTGGCGGAATAACTGCTGCACAGTTAACGTTGCTCCAGTCGCACTGGCGCCAACGGCCAGTGAGGTAAGCGGCCGAAGGACCGCCGCCTTGGCTTTGGGATCGTCGCTGTGGCAGAGGCTCGTCAATTTGCGCGTGGGATACCAACAGGCGCAAATAAGTCCGCCGGCTAAGAGAATGCCCGTAAATACTTGGCCCAGCATTACTATGAGTGGAACTAAACCAATGTTGCTAGCGATTTCCTCACTGACCCGCACTCGCTCTTCAGCCCACATAAGGGGCAGCAAAATGCGTGGCACACGCGCATAAAGTCTAAAATTATAATTTCTGATTAATTTCGATTCATTTTTTTGCCTAAGCAGTACAAGATATACTTACGCGACGCCCGAAACCGGCTCCATCAGATAATTAGCCTGGAACCCACCGCCTACATCCATGGGCACGCCAGCATTTGGCTCCAAGGCCATGTAAAATTCATGCTTTTCCTTCTCCGGATGCAGTCCATCCAATGCTTCCAGATAGATGGGATCGGCCAGATAAAAGTGCGGATAGGACATGAAGATGGACGTGTTATAGCTGCAATACTTGATGTTAATAACACCGGCCGGGAAGCATTGCCCATCCACGCACAGACAACTGGTGTCCGGATACATTGTGCCATTGTCTACGGCGTGCCGAGTGCCGCTGTATTTGTATGCAGTGATGCCATGGATGGTGACTGTTTCCGTATAGTCCAGCGGCACGGCTCGGCACATTTTGGGCATGTAGAGGTAGACGGGTTCACTGGTGTTCAAATTGGGAGGAAAGAATTCACCCATGGAGCCCATAACGTTGCCACAGGCTCCACTATAAGCGCCCGTGTGTGTCTTATTGTTCCAGGAATAGATTTGTCCCATTTTACGGATATCATCAGCGCCAGTGAACATATTGATGTCGCCATCAAAGCTGGTGCTCCCATTCCGGCCGTACTGATAGCCGATGCGATCGAACGGCACATTCTCTGGGCTAATAAATTTACCCAGAGTCACCAGCTTATGCACAAAGCCCTTGAATAACCACTCCTCGGCAGTCCGCGTCTCACTGATCTCCTGTGTGGAGCTCAGCGTGGTCGATGCCACAAATTGAAACAACGTGTTCAATTCGCTTAAACGTTTGGCACCCGCCTATGGGAATAGCATTCATTCACTTATTAATTCAGATCTTTGATTCAATAGCCTTATAGCCAACTTACGTGCGCCACTGTGTTCACCGAGGTGACGATATCCTGGAGCGTACCATTGCTGCCCGCAGCATCGAAGTAGAAATATGCCTTTTTCCGAAATGAAATCGAAGCATTGTGATTGTGCCACTCGATGTCGACCTTATCGGGCTTCTCTCGAAATCGATAGGGCCCCAGTTGCTCAAAGTGCGGTTTCCTCTTTGAGCCCTCGTACAAATCCTCGGGATTTGTCCAATTGAATAAATAAACATCAAAGTTTAGCGGCAACGGCGACACTTTCCAGCCCTCAAACGCTGGTGATGTGGGACTGAGGGCCATTTCCTGCAATATGGAATTATATAGATGTTTTACTTAAGTAATATTCACGACGGTGTTTAGTTGCAGTTAAAAGTCATTAGTTGTAATTGTTTTTTCAGTCAAACAATTAGAATTAATTACTTTTAACTGCAACCAGCCCGATATTACCAGAAACTCTTTTCGCATGATTTAACTGGCTCAGTTTAAGGAACATAATAGATGTGTCTCAGCTTTAACAGTTGCGATAATAGCCGCACAGGGAGGAAGATTATGAGGCTTATAGAGAAATTGCGTGTGCTTTGAAAATGTTTTAAACAACCTCTGGCTACATTGTTGGCTATCTATGCAATTTTCCAATCGTCCAGTCAAATGTCATGTGAGTCTAGTGTTATCAGCAATGCCAGGCTGATGGGCCATCAATAATCCATCACGACTTGTAATCATCGTATGGTTAGATTCTAGGTGTATACCACTTGGAACAAATCCGAGGCGGCCATTTTGAAATTCAAGTTTTTAACTATAATCTTGAAGCAAAAATTGTTGCTTTTTTGTTGTGTTTCGAGTTCAGGAAATGAGTAACTGATAAAAGGCGATAGAGGTATGTTTTGCGGTAACGGCACGTGTGAATATGCACAAATATGAATTTATTTCATTTGTTGTTCATGTCATATGGGTAAGAATATATAAATCGGCTATACAGGTGTTCTGTGGTCAAGGGCTAATTGGGGTAGTATCAAAAGTAAAGCCTTTTATGAATTTGCTTTGCGGGCAATGCAAGCCGTAAAAATTGAATAGACAGTACACAGCTGCAACAACAACAAGGTCGATTCAGACCACTCGGCTATAATCGCCCAATGGTAGTCAGCGCGATTGATAAGTACGCTTTGAGATAAGATAAAACTACTTGTTACGGAAAAAGCTCGAATTGTTTGTTTTCTTGTTTGTCTGGGCAACACACACGTAAATATTTCCGTTGCTAGCATAATTGCGAAAAATGATCAGCGATCCGATTTCAGCTGCAGCTGCTCCAGTGAATCATGTCACTTAACGATTATGATATATCAGTCCATATCGTTGCCAGCTGTTCAAAACTTCCCAAGTATACTTAGTCAGTTGCCAAAATATAGAAAAAATGTAATGTGGCCATAAAAAATGTATCTTATCTAGGGGTTTTTTTTATTTTTTTTTTTTTTCGAACACCTGCACACACTCAATTCTTGCTGTCTTTGTGGGAATTGATTCCAATTGATTTGGAGAGAGACAAGTGGTGAACCAAACCCCCCTCCCCGTTCCCGCCGTCCATGCCATACTAATTGTATGCTAATGAGCGGGGTTCACATTCAGTTGACCTCCCATCGTTTCGGCAAATTGACATGTGCGAGAGCTGTACTCTCTTGGGGCTAGAGATGGAACTTATCGAGTCAATGGCGAACGGCGGGCAATGACTGATGTATGTAATTAGGATGACTGTGCTATTAGATAAGGCCGAGCAGCGTGATGCGACGATGCGAGAATCATGCAACAAATATTCATATCCAACTTACCCTGCCGCGCATGCGCGTAAATATGTCAATCCAGTTGCGCAGAAGGTAAACGCCAGCGGCTATGCAGCAAGCGCCTAGAATGACAATGCTGAGCCGCCAGGCGCAGTGGCGTGCACGTGACGTCATCTCTGCGGGCTGCTCTTCTTGTTGCTTTTGTTGCGATTTTCGATGACGATTGCTGTCAGCGTCTCTGGTCGTGCCTGCACAAAAGGCTTCGCTTGTTGCTTTTGTTGTTGTTCTGCAGGCAACTCTCGTTGCCTTCTTTACGCCTGTTCTCTTGCTCTTACTGCGCTGCACTGAGGCTAAGCGCTTGTGATTTCTCGTCGCCGGAGTCGTTGACGCTGCCTGCACATACAGATAAGCAAAAAAAAAAAAGTCAAAACAAAAACAAAATAAAGAGAATGTTAAAGTCCATGTTAGTATTCGTGAATGTGTGTGAGTTCGCATTTAGGCGAGCTACGGCTTATCGTTATTGTTATCGAAAGTGGCAAAGGCTCGTCTAGGAATTTTGAGCGGCTAAAGAGAGCAGTGCCTAAGAGAGGCGATATCAAAATTAAGCGGATGACGCGCCGTAGAGCAACACCACTAAGCTTTACTGCGCCGTAAATATAAATCTTACTATGTCTAATTGCCAACAAATTTTGTACATACATATGTGACAATGCGAGCGCAAGTAATATAGAGCGCTAGACGAGAATCCGAACAAAAATAACTTACAAATCATACCATTATAGAAAGTTTCAATGATTTTACTATTCGCGGTTGGGCTCTTAACCGGTTCAAATGGCAATGGGCGTGGGAGACAGAAGTAAGCTATTTTAGTTTGGGCCATTTTTGCCATGATGAAGCAATAGCATTTTAACATTCCTATGCTCATATGTACATATGTACGTGCGTTCATTTTTTATTGATGCACGTAGCAAGGTTAAATAGACATTGAGAAAACCCGTTTTCCCCTGCCTGCACCAATTGCTGCACTCCGTTAACGCCCCGAGCTTCACAGCACCGCCTACGTCTGCCTTTTTTTGCTGTGCGCTCTGATTACTTTACGCGTTATTTACACAGATTATGGACTTTTTAACATAGTGCAAACTCACTTGTGGGTACAGGAAAAATATACATACATTCATGTACATGTATGTATATGCATACATACACATAATAATCACGCGAACCTAACACTTATTCATGGACAGAAAAAAAAGTTCGCTAGCGCTGTTGCTGGGCTATGGTAGTTAAAAAAAAGCGACAATCATTGTTAACAGTTTTAGTGGGCTATTGAATAAAATTATTTACTTGCACAGGTATCCTTGAGCCGATGTGCACGTCACTTCCGCAACCTGTTGACATGTTATGTGGTTTGGCTATGTTTATTCATATGCTTTATTTGTTGTTCTTGTTGATATAAAATACCTATAAATAGGCGAAACAGTACAATCTGCCAAAATGAAAATAAGTAACATACATATGTATATGTATACACATATGTACATATGTATGTATGTTGATACATTGTATGTTCCCTCAGCCCGTGTCTGAATTTGCATTAATAATTTGTATTATTAATCTAAAAACTCGCTAACGATGCGTCATGATTTCGGTTGCGAAACGCAACTCCAACAATATATCAGCAAAAAACAAATAAAAGTGTGTGTATTATATTTTATAATCATTATAATAAGGAACGTCTGTTCAACGCTCTGCCATTAAGGCTCTCGCGCTCGCGCTTTGTGCTCTCTCACGAAATATTTGTGCTCACACACACGCACGCACTCACGCACTCACTCGCTCACTCTCTCTGGCCCTCGACAAAAACAACAATATACGCGTAGGGAATTCGTTTCTTACGTTTTAGCTCAAATGGTGATATATTTTTGCGTATGCAACTATTATTTGATCACTTATTGCAGTTGTCACCTTTACTGCTTCTTCTTCTTTTTGTTCGAATCGCATAGCATTTTTCAATCGTTTACTCTGCATTCGTTTTCAAATACTTTTTAATTGAATTCAATTCAAATTACACAAGTATAAATATTTATTACGATTAAAACGATTCTTCAAATGCGCTTTGAGGCTTTTGCTCTATGTCTGTCTGTTCTGTTTGCATTGCGGCGTCTATTTCTTGCATATTTTCGTCTCACTCGCTCGCATGACTTTTAATCGCTAGACAACGCCGCACCGTTAACTTGATCTTGAACTCGGCCAAAAAGCCACGCGTCGCTAACTTTCGTGTCCGAGCGGCACCGTGCCTGTTCTGTGACTGAAACTATTTTCTGTTTTCGAATTGCCACCAAGCAGCAATTATACATATATTTTTCATTAAAGCAAATATAAAATAATGATGTGCTGATCGACTTGACAATACTCTACATTAATATTAGAATTCATCAAAATGAATTTGTCTGTGAAAGAGCGCAAGTAAAATGTTGTACATGTTTATAAATTAATTATATTTTGGAAATGAGAGATATAGGAATTAATTAATTATTTATTATTTACATAAATACAGGACAAGTGGCTATTGCTTACAAAAGATACACATGTGCTACAAAATTGTTATGATATTTATATTAAGGCAGGGTATGCATCACAAATGAGCGTGTAAGCAGCAACAGAGCATACGCATTGTTCAAGAGCTATCGCTCTCTCACTTATCTCTTTCCATCTCTATTGCTCTCTGGCCATGTTTGTTGCCCACCCATGGCAAAACCGGTTCCATGTCTTTGAAACGGTTATATTACTATGAATATGTACATTATCGGCATGAAACGGTCATAATTCGATTTTATTTAACGGATTTCTGCCACGAAATGAATAAACGCTTAGGCATGTGCATTTATCTCGCCACATACTCAAGTTCGTATTAAAATACTGTTTTTTATTTAAAATGCTTATCAGTTAACGAGGCGTGTTGGTTTTTCATGTGATAAGTTTTATTGTACAGCCTACAGTTCGTTTCGATAGTATAAAATCGATCAGGGCCTAGGTAATTTCATACCCACAACTTAACTTTAAACGTTGAATATATTCAACGGAAGAGAGACGGATAGAGAGAAATAAATTAATTTTAAGCCAGGGATTATTCAACTTTGACTTCGTTTGACCTCAATTCACATAATATGGAATACGCATAAGTAAAGATAATCGACTGCTAAACAATTTACCCAATATATAAAATTTCAAAAAAATATAAGATTATTTTTATATTTAAGCTTTCATAGTTTCTCTATTTTATTTAGAAACTTTATTATTTATTACCTGGGTTCTAAACAGAAAAAGTACACAAGAGCATTTAATATTATATTTTATTAGCTTCATTCTAGAGCACCGTAAAATATCTATAGCATTACCACTTATATTTTGACTTAAATTGTGTATACCCTACAACTGTAACCTTATCACATTACATTATATTAAATAAACCTGTAAAGAGCTACGCATCACCAGATGAGGGCACAAACTGCAACCCCACGAGTAGAGGGGAGTCCTCGACTCCTTGGGCCTTAAGTTCTCCAGTCGCCGGGACCTGCCTTCGGTTTTCCAAGTTAGTTATATCGATCTTTCGCATAAAGTGCTTATGCAAAATGATCTGACGCGGATACCAGAGTAATAGCACGAAGCCCAATCCGACAGCAATGCAGCTACAGATCTTACCTATCAGTGCCGAAATAGGTAAGAGCTTTAGATAGATTAGTAGATCGGGCGTGATGCGGACCCTATAGTCAACCCAGACGAGTGGAAAGAAAGTTCGACGGGACTTTCGAAATACGCTGCAACATGGGGAGTTTTAAGATGTTTTAGATCATATGGTAAATTATCAGAAACACTTACGATTCTGGACGAGGCTCCACCAGTAGACTGATCATAAGTCGCGCTTTGATGTCCAACAGCATCCCAGTTGTGGGCTCCAGTATGACGCTCATCTCATGACGATCCTTGTCGGGCTTCATGCCCTCCACACCATCAACGTAGTACGGATCGGCATTATAGAAATGTGGAGAGGAGGCAAATATAGGCACATCATACCAGCAGGCGGACAGATTTAGTACGCCTGATCGCACCTCCTTGCAGTTGCCCGTGCAGTAGCAGCTGTGATCAGGATTATCGGTGCCTACAAAATGAAAATGTAAGTACTATATATAGAGTTTCTACAGAACTGACTCACCGTTTGCCATATTCCGTGGAGTGCTCTTGTAAACGTATGCCGGAATACCCTCAAAGATGGTCGTGCCCGCATAGTCCAATATCAGCTCTCGGCAAATGTCGGGTACGAAGTATGAGATCGGCCTGCCTTGTCGCAGCGGAATGGGATGGAACTCTCCCATACTGCCACTCAGCTTGCAATTGGGCTGACCAGCTGTTACATTATCGTAGCGCCAGCGCGCTATTTGACCCAGCTTTCTGAAGTCGTCCTGACCAGTGTAGACATTGTGATGCCCATAGATCTGTTCACTGTCGTTGCGCTGCAATGGGTAAGGGAGACGAGCCTTAGTCTTCATGCATGTCATTGGAAGCCTCTGAAGTTCATCTTACCGGATAGCCATAGCCAATGCGCTCGTATGGGAAGTGTAACTCCGGCACCATGCGAGTGGGCACCATTTTGCTAATCTTGATCAGCGGAGTATCGAAGCCACTGAAGAGCCAATCATCGGCCGGCCTCACAAAGGTCGGCTCATTGCCATTCATGTTGATGGCCATTAACATCAAAGTGCGCAGCATCGGGTTCCATTTCTGCATCTTGTTGAGTAGCCCCACGCTCAGCGTATTTGGGGCCACAATGGAGTCCGTGAGATTTCGTGCACTCGCCTCCTGGTCAAAGTAGAAGTGACTTCGCCGCATATAGGACACTGTGTAGTTCTCTGGATGCCAGACCACATTCAATTTCTCCTGTCTTTCCGTAAAGACGTACGGCCCCAGCTCCTCAAAGCGCGGCTTGACATTGGGATTGTTGAACTGTTCCGAGTTTGTCCAGTTGAAAATGAAAACATTTGCTGTCATGCCCAAGGTGGGCGACTGCCACAGGTTGATTAGCATAGAGTTGGGCTTGAGCACCATACACTGTGGACAGTTAGGAGCTCATGAATGCTAGCTCATGTACATACATATACCAAATAGCACGCTCTAGACTTACCCACTCTAAGGTGCGTCGTTGTATGCGCTCGAAATTTAGAATAGATATTAGACCCAAGGTGGCAAGCAGCAGGCCCACCAGACTGGTTAATGCAATGCGATTTTTTCCGATCATAACCCTCACTACACGATGGTCGGATCTGTAATGAGTCTAAGAATATTTTATTGGACTACTTCTCCAATTGATATGATAAAATATTCTACTATAACATTTTTTATGGCCAATATAAAGTTGAAAATTAATCTTTGACTATTTAGCATCAATCACTTTAATCATCGGTTATCTGTTAGTTGATCCTAATTAGATATGCAAAATATTTGCACGTACTGAAAATTAGATACATTTTAAGCAGGTTCTTACAACTTACGTATATAAAATGTATTTATATATGTTTATTTCTATTCCACCTCTATTGATTCATAACTCATATATGACCTTTTGTTAACTATCCCATTAACTAGAAATGTATTTAGTTTAAATTTATACACAGAATACCTATTAAATACATTGAAATTGCCTTTGAGCATTAAACATATATTATTATCTGTCAATTAACAAGAATGAATTTCCGGTTTGCAAATGACATGAAAGGTGTTCACTTTTTAATTTATTTTCGCATAATTTCCTATGGTAATATATACCTAAGTAGTCTCAATTTTGTTTATCTTATATGACAGAAAGATCTTAAAATGTTTGGGAGTGTCTAAGGGAAAGGTAAGGTAGTGGTTAATACAAAATTTCTATGATCAATTAAAGATTATTAAAAATAATATACATATACGTATATAACTATTTATGCAGATTATTGAAAATAATATACATATACATATATAACTATTTATGCAACAATCAAAATAAATATGCTGGCTTACCCTTAGAAATTTTTAGTTTTGTAAGTATGAATCACGTTTTTGATAGAGACAAGCGCAAGGTGTTTTCAGTTGTCTTCTATTGTCTAGTGTGGCTGAGAATAGTCTCAAAGGTCCATCTGGGTTATCGTCGTAGTACAGCTCTGATAAGAAGCGCGCTTCACGCTGATCAAGTTACAATTCCATTGACATCGACACTTTTCTTTTAGTTGTACTCTTTTTTTTCGAGTCCTACGAGTTGGCACTGGATCATCAGATTTTCTTCAATCTCGATGCGTTGCGTTGCGTTGCCCGGTCGAGTTGAGGTACGATGCGCGCTAAATGCCGACTTGATAACGACTGACGACTTGAAGGAGCCAGGTCCAATATTAGTACTTGACGGAAAAAGACTAAAGACATTAAAAGAAATAAGTGAGAGTGAGAGAGTGATTATGCAGCGGAGGAGGCAACAGAGATCGCGAGGCACGAATTGATACTGTATTCCCCCCACATCTATGAAGTCGAAGTTGATGCACTGAGCGAAATAAGTGTTGCATACTTTTGACGAGATGATGCGTTGCTACCGGATTGAGAGTTCAACCCGAATCGTAGCCCCTTTTTATAGATATCATGGAACGGTCAATGGCTCCGCTTGGGGACTATACACAATTTCGATCAGTGTAATGGACATATTAAATTATTATTATTATTATTTTGTTTTTGTTTTTACATTTACATTTTCTTTTTATTTTTATGCTTGTGCACTCTGTACTTAGTGCTGTGTTAATGAACAGCTTGGTGGGACAGTTCCATAATCTTGGCAGGGGTTATCTTTTAATGATTTGGCCAGTGCCGAGAGGCATTTCCCGAATTGGGAGCAACATGGCAATTGCACCGCTCCACTCGAGGCGCGTTATCACCTAAAAGCGCTGGCCGGCTAACTGGGCAATCGGGCAGTCGAGTTCGACTAAACTAAACATAACAAATTTTCGTGTTTTCCAATGTGTTTTTTATTCCTGTTTATTTTATTTTTTGTGTTCTTCTTTTTGTTTTTGTGTGTTCGCTCCCATTGATAAGAAGCGCGTTCCAATCGCTTGGACGCAATGCCCGATGGCGTTGATCTGATAAAACCAAAACTGGAGGTACAGATTATACAAATACAAATACTATAGAGATATATACGTATATTTATATAAAAGTAGAGCAACAACTTTTATTTATTATACAGACAAACGTTGAAGTTCAGCTTCTATATGCATACATATGTATGTGTATGTATGTAATATATGTTGTAAGCATAAGTAATTATATATATATATATATATATATATATATATATATATTTTTTTTTTATTTTTTTTTTTATATGTCTCATATTTATCAAATTTATAACTGATAACTGACAAAGTACGGATTATTAAAGCAAAGTGAGTTTAAGAATCTAACTGAACTAACAATTTCTGACTTTAGAAACGGAAATACTTAAACCATGATAAATTGTTTATGCTTACATAAAATTTTGATGAATAATATATAAAATATATATAATGAATAATAAATTTCTAGGAAAACTCTAGTTCTAGGAGCTTTTATATGTTATATTAAATTAAGATAAATTGTTTTTATGACATGGGCATTCATCTTGAATTCTTCAATACTTTTTTATATGAAAATCAAAATTAGGAACTAATTTGTACAAGCAAACAAATAAACGAAGCAAATTAATTCATTTTGCTTATCAGCGGATTAGCTTCTAGTTTGATGATGATTGATGTATTCCTAGTGTACCATAAACAATTTTGCATGCTTAGCGCTTGTACTTAACAGTGACATCTTAGCTCACTGTTAATTAACATTTTTCGCGACTGCCGCAGCCTCGCAGCAGGCACGCTTAAATGTAATGAGTACTTTGAATCAACTCAGAGATTTCCCCGTGTGACACAGTAAGAGAAAGTCGCTCTGTTTACAGGAGGCGGACGGACATACTGTCATGCCCAATAACTAAACCTGGGTATCAGCCCGGATTTACAAAATTTGATGCTGCCGTCACTGATAAGAACCTATTCAATATTTCCTATAAATATATAATAATCTTCAATAAATCTTAGCATTAATGCAATTTGAAATAAAAATGCATTTTTCAGTCTTCAATTCAACTTTCGTATTATATATTATACAAGGAAAGACATGCATGTATGTGTATTTCCGTAGACTCAGGCACAGTTGGAACAGGTAATCAATCACTATCTTACAAAGCTAAACTTAAGCACACTAGACATATAATCCATGTTGGGTGTCATTTGTTTGGTATCGATTCTCAAATAGCGGAAGTTCTACAAAGCATATAAATGAGTTTTATTATCATTTAAAAATCAATTAAATATTAATATGGACGCTTACCTGCAGCAGGTTGAGCACAATGTCGCTCTGCCTGATCCACAATTCCAGGGGCTGAGTACGCCAGCTTTGCTTGGCCAGCACCGCCTGGCAGCGGCCGACGAAGGCGTTGCCAATGCAGCGCGATCTCGTCATGTCCAGGATGCGCAGCTGGCGACAGTTGATCACAAAATGCAAAATACCCGCTGGACTCTCCAGCTGGTAGCCGCACAGATGCAGCTCGCTGAGCTCGGGCAGCTGGGCCGCCAGTTGGCACAGCGCTTGGTCGCTGAGGCACTGCAGCTGCCCCTCCTCCGACTGGCCGTGCACCTCAAGTCGGCGCAGGTGCCGCAGATGGCTCAGCTCGCGAAAGAGTCGTCCATAGTCGTGCAGGAGTCCGCTGAAGCGAAAGCCTTCGATCTGCTTGATGCCAGCAGCTGCGGCATTGCTGGGTCGCGCTATGCGCTCCAGCACATCGAAGACAAAGTTCTTGGAGTAGATGGACAGCTTGCTGAGGTGCGGCAGGCGCAGCAGCTGCTGCGTGATGTCCGACTCCATGCACAGATGGTAGTCGGCGATCTTGATGTGCTCGAGAGTGGGGCAGAGCTGCACGTCCACTAAATCACAGCAGTTGACCTCGTCGCAGTCCTCCATGATGTCGAACTTGCGCAGCTTCAGCAGTCGAAAAATGTCGCGAAAGTACTGCGACTCCAGATACTGGCAGTCGTCCAGGCAGAGTTCGGTCAGCAGCTCCAGCTCGTGCAGATACTTACCCGTCACCTGGCAGCCGCGCAGCTTCAGCATGCGCAGTGATGGAAACACGCGCTTCAGCAGACGCACATCCTCGTCCACGAAGCGGACGCGTCCACGTCGCGGCTGCTGATCAACGCCCAGCCACTCGAGGCTAATCACGTGGGGCAGACAGTGGTCACTCAGCAAACGGAGTCGGCGCACATCCAGCTGGTGGCAACTGAGCCGCTCCAGGTGCGGTGCCAGGGCCAGCATAAAGGCCTGGAACTGTCGCGAGGATGCACGGCCCAGCAGCTCGTCCTGCAGCGCCACGTTGCGCACGCGCGTGCGCCACAGCGCCTGGACAATGCTCCGCAGCCGACTGTGCAGCTGGCTTAGCTCGAACTGCTGATACACGCTCAGCTGAGCCACTATCAGGGCCAGCACATCATCGTTCAGCTGCAGAAGCGAGCTCGATCGTGGCCGCGGCTCTGGAGACGAGATACAGCAATAAGCACTGACAATGACATTCAAAATGAGAATCGCACTTACCTGTTTCTCCTGTTGTGGTCATTTGTGGGTTGTCTGAGCTTGAATTCCAACTCCTGTTGTTGGCAGGCGCAGCGCATTTTAGACACTGCCAAACAAATGCAGCCTAACCAGCTGTCCAGGGTCCATGCTTCCAGAGAGCTACCTAAAATGTACCTACTTTAAGGGTGGTTTTCCAGGCAAACCAGCCCACCTACCTAACTTACCTACAATAGCTTGTCTACTTAGCGATGGCACACGAGCAAGCCGATGACTTTAGGCGATGGCTGGGCGATAGTTCAACAAGCAACTGCAGTATTTGCACTAAACGGTAATATACAGGGTGCTTTTCTTCAAAGTTTGTTAATGTTGACTTGATGCTGGCAATGCTTGAATATTGTAACAGAGTTGACCAGCTGAAAAAGTCTTTGTGCAGAGGAAACCCTTCTTTATAGTTAACAGTGCCTGGATCGCTTACCACAGTGGACTGTTTCATTTCAAATGAAACTCATTATCGATATTAATTAAATTAAAAAGCTGAATGAAATTAATTACCTAGAGCAAAAGCTACTTTAAAATGTATACTCTAAAGTAGTAAATAATATTAATATAAAAATGTTTTTAATTATTGTGAATAAATGCAACTTCCAGGTTATCCAAAAAGGCGTAGGTTCGAATACACTTGGGTAAAATCTTTAAATATTTTTTTTTGTGTTGCACTAAGACAAAAAAAAATGTTAAACAAGTTTTTTGTAATATAGCTTATGCTGCGCGTTGCTTAATTTTTACTTTTATTTTTTCTTTTATTTTATTTTATTTTTTTCTTTCGTTTATTTGTTGTTTGGTGCTTACTACGTCATCGATTTGTATGTATTTAGTTACATTTAACTTTTACAATATATATATATATGTATATATAGATTCTATGTTGTATGTATAATGTACGCATTATTATTATTCATTCATTCATTCAATTTCATTTGTCGGTATAGGCATATTGTAGGTATATATAGTGTGTATATATTGTATCTGCATTATAGTACATTATTGTTTCTATTTACTTAGTATTGTTACTGATTTATGTTTTCATTTGTTGTTGTTGCATTTCATTAAATTTACTTGCATTTGCTTTTGCTTTTGCTTTTACTATTACTTTTACTTTTAATTGGCTGCGTTTTAGGAAACATTTTTCGACTTCAGCAGCTTATTGTTGACAATAATCGTAATCGTAATCATAATCCGAATGATAATAATCATTCACAATTGTTATGTATTAAATTATGTTTGATTAATGCATTATCCAACTTTCAAATTAAATGTTTGCTTTGTTAAATATTGCAACACAATTTGAATTTGTTAATTAAAAATTGCCATTCGCATGCTACAGATACAGTTGATCAGTTAATATATTAGTTAATAATCGTATAATATATATATATTTATTTATATATATATACTCTATATGCTTTCTATATACGGCGCTCTATTATACACATCACCAATCTATTTTAAAAACACCAAAAACTAACACGGCTAAAAACAACTACATAAATATAATATGTTTGCTTGTGTCTGTCTGTCTGTGTATATATGTGTGTGTGTATTTTAACATTTATGCGAAGTTTAACAAATTGTTCGGATTGTGTTTCCTTTAAAAACTTCGCATAAATGTTTATAAACAATTAAACTTTATGCGCACATTTGTTTTTTATTCCATTTTTGTTTTTCTTTTTTACAATTTTTAATTGTTCCCTGCATTTTTAGTACATATTTTTTATTTTTATTTTATTTTTCAACTTTTTTCGCTGCCAATAAATGTCTTAATAATTAAAAATATTAACTGAATTTTTTCAAGATTTCAATGTTGGACAAAAACAAACTATTTTTATTTTTGTGTATATTGTTTTATTTGTGTACATGTACAGTTTTTTTCTGGTTAATTTAAATTAAAGTGTATAATTAAAATATTAAATTAATAAAATGTTGCATTTCAAAGGAAGCATTATGTGTGTGTGAGAGTGTGTGTGTGTTTCTTTTAAAATGAATAAACTTGACTCATCTAATGATAGTATATGTTTTTTTTTTAGTTTTATCTTTATTTTTTGTATGTTTATGTTTGTAAAATTTAAAGCAGATATGTTGTTGCTTGTGGCGCTTGGGGCTTTGCTTCTTGTATATATCTTGTTGCTGTTTTCAACATAAGCACAGTATTTGTTATATAATTAATTGTAGAGTTGTGCCTAGATTTATTATAATTATTATTATTATTTATTGTTTGTTAACTTTTAATAGTGTGTAGTGTAGTGTAGTGTATTGGGAGTAGGTTATAACTTCATACTTTGCTTTTCTTTCTCTCGCTCTCTCTCGCTCGTTCTTCTCATTGTCATATTATCGTAATCATAATCATAATCATAATCGTATAGCGCGTGCGCTAATCATCTTCTACACACACATTTCGTAGATGTAATAACTAATAACTAATTCACTTTCGCTCACTTGTCTCATCGTCATTATCATCAATCTTAATTCATCTTAGTAGTTCAACTAACATTAAATATAATATTAATATATAATTCTTTTCATCTTGTGTTTCTCAACTTCTTGTTAGTTCTTTCTTTTCCTTTCTCTTTTACTTTTGACTTAGCCTAAGCTTCTTCTTCTTCTCCCCTTCTCCACCTCAACTATCGTGTTAGTTAACTGATTTAATACGCCTTGCCCTGCATGTATATAACAAAGGTTTATCATCCATAGGCAACAATTTGTCGGACTTAAACTCTAATCGGGCTGAAGGTTAAGAGGATGAGGTGTGTTCTATATTAACTGGGCGCTGATATATATATATATATAGTATAATATTTGTGTAGTTTATAATATATGTGTATGCATAACTGTTTAAGCTGTTTGTTTCGTAACATACTTTGCTTTACAAAATGCACAAAATAATACAAAATGTTCCGGCGATTTCTCAAAGTTTTGCTGCAGTTTTATATACAAAGTATGTATAATTTATATATTCATGAATGGTGTACTGTTATGAGGATGCCATGTAAGTATGTGTGAATGTCTGTCTCTCTCACTTCCTATGCATAACTTAATGAGAAATAATATAAGAAATACATGCGCCAATAATATAAAATAATAATAAAAAAAAAACAATTCAAAACATTGCAGCCGGGCGCAACCGACTGAATAATACTCGTTCACGATCAAAAACAGTTTTGTTGAAATGGGATATGCGAACCGCATATTTCATAGGTCATTATTAGGAAAGGTTAACAGTGATTCGCCTGCAAAACTTAGTAATCCTTGCTCTGTAGCTGTGAAGTATATAGGGTTTCCCGATTTGCTTAAATTCCAATGGTAAGTTCGTATAGGATTTACATTTTTTTATATACGAATATAAATTGTTTCATAAATTTCAATTTCAGACAGGCAGACAATACGGAGTTATTGCACAAAGCCAATGTATGATTTGCACATCGTGAACGATTATTAAAAAAAACTGATTACACCCATTGTTGAACCCATTGATGAACTCTCTCATTGACTTGGCCGGTAGCACAGCTAACAGCCATGTTCAGTGCCTTTGTTACGCGTACATTTCATAAATGTAACAGGGACGTGAGAAGTATTTATCATATATATATATATATATAGACGCTAAGCGCCTAACAAGATCGGTTAGAGAACAATGAAGGGAAACTATGAGATGTTTGTTTTTCTTGTATTGCACGTTGCGCAAGCGGGCGCCTGATCAGAGAGTTGAATATAGACAGAGAGACATTCTATCGGGTTCAAGGCGTAACCAGCGCGAGAAACTATAAACTATAAATGTATATGTGTACACGTATATACATATACATATACAAATATAACTAGCTGCTTATGTGGATGTGAGGGATCTTGCTGTGCTGTATGCTGTTGTAGCCGTTGTTGCCTTCAGCTGCTTCGATTGGCCGCCGGATTTTGTGTGCTTCACCATTGTGTTGTGGCTGTTGTTGTGGCCGCCGCTGTCGTCGGGTAGCCAGGCAGGAGGGGCTACTGTTAGTAAACCACCGGATGCTGCTCCACATTTGAGGGCAGATGCTGCAACTGCATGGCGGCACGAGCCAGCGCGCTTGGATCACTTATCAATGCAATGGGCACCTGCGGTGGTGGCTGTTGCTGCTGCTGTGGCGGCGCTTGTGGATGCGCTTGTTGCTGTGGATGATGTTGCTGCTGCTGCTGTTGCTGTTGTTGTTGTTGTTGCTGCTGCTGCTGCTGCTGCTGCTGTTGTTGCTGTTGATGCTGCTGTTGCTGCTGATGATGATGCGCCGCCTGCTGTATGGACAATTGCAACAGTTGTTGCTGCTGCAGTTGCTGTTGCTGCTGCTGGTGTGCAGCAACTGCTGCCTGCTGCTGCTGTTGTTGCTGCTGTGCGGCCACCTGTTGCTGATGCTGCTGGTGTGCTGCTGCCGCCGCCGCTTGCTGTTGAGCCGCCGCGGCTGCCTGTTGCTGGGCAGCGGCCGCTGCCGCCGCCTGCTGCTGGGCAGCAACTGCAGCAGCCACTTGCTGCTGCTGCTTCTGCGACTGCTGGGCATTATGGGAGATGAGCGTGCTGGTGACGAGCGGCACCAGGCCGGGCGTCAGCTGGACAGCACCAGCGCCAGCCGCTGCAGCGCCCGCTGTTATCTGCTGTATGGTGTGCATTGTGGTCGTCGCCGAATGATGGGGAACTGCAAAGGGGGAAGAGGCGGTCAGTTGGGTAATTGAACTGGACGTAGACAGACGCGGTCGCGTGGCGTGCCCGGCTGTCGTGTGTTCTGTGTCCGACTCACTTATGATCGGTTTCACTTCCTGCTTGACTTGGGTCAGCACACCAGCCGGTATTTGCGGATGCGGATGCACGGGTGGTGGCGGCATCATAGCATCCGGGTGATTCATCTTCATGTGGCGCTTCAAATTGCCGCGCTCGACGAAAGCCTTGCTGCACAGTGTGCACGCGTGCGGTTTCTCGCCCGAATGGGAGCGCATGTGCGAGACCAAGTGACCTGCGAAACGGACAATGGAAGCGACATGAAGATATCTCTGCCGACAAGGGTAGATCGAATTTCGACAAACATAAAACCAAGGACGTCGGCGGCTCATTCGACTTGGGCAGCAGCTGGCAAGTCACAGCCATTCCGAACCAAAACCAAGGCGAGCGAGCGGGCGGGCGGGCGTGCGTTTATCTTACTTCTTTTTCATTGATTTAATTAAGGTTAATAAGCGGGTCAGGGAACAACTCAACCAGTTGCACAGTGCAGCGAATATTATTGAATGTAAATTTAGTTCAAATTCAAATTTGTCAAAATAAAAATAAAAAAAATTATTATAAAATTTAAATCAAAATTCTTAGTAAATTAAAAAATGAGATATTTGATAAAGGGCTTACAAAAATATATAAAAAATCATAAATAAATCTACATAAAACTAAAATTAATTAGTGCCTAACAACAAATATTCGCTGCACTGTGGTTAAGGAGGGGAATTGATGGTTTGGTTGGTTGGTTGGTTGATTCATTAGCAGATTTGCGGCTGGATTGGGATGACTACTATGCTGACGCCACGTCTCGCGTGCTACACTCTGCTGCACATGGGGCCAACTCACCTTTGCATATGAAATTCTTGGGGCACTTCTCGCAGGCGAATGGACGCTCGCACTCCTGGCCCTTGGTGTGGCTGCGCTGATGGAACAGGAGGTTGCCCTTGAGGGGGAACGATTTGCCGCATGTCTCGCAGGTGAAGGGGCGATCGCCGGTGTGACAACGCGACATGTGATTGATCAAGTGCTCCTTGCGTGTGAAGGGCTTGTTGCACACGTTGCAGCAATGCGGATTGTCGCTAGAGTGCTGGCGCATATGATTATTGAGATGCTCCTTGCGCGTGAACGTCTTCTGGCAGTATTCGCATTTGTGCGGCGAATCTCCAGTGTGCAGGCGCACATGATTCGTCAAGTGTTCCTTGCGGGTGAAGGTCTTCTTGCAGTAGCTGCAACGATGCGGCGAATCGCCCGTATGCTGGCGGACATGATTCGTCAAATGCTCCTTGCGCGTAAACGTCTTGGTGCAGTATGTGCACTTGTGCGGCGATTCGCCTGTATGTTGCCGTACATGATTAACCATGTGATCTTTGCGTGTGAACGCTTTCGTGCAGTACGTGCACTTGAACGGTGTCTCACCCGTGTGCTGGCGTATATGATTCACCAGATGCTCCTTGCGCGTGAACGTCTTCATGCAGTAGGAGCAGCGATGCGGCGACTCTCCCGTGTGCTGGCGCACGTGATTTAACAAATGCTCCTTGCGCGTAAACGTCTTGGAGCAGAAGTCGCACCGATGTGGCGTCTCGCCTGCTTGCGTGGTAAAAGGTAAGAATCGTACAATAACATTACAGATTAGAAATCATTCATTCACAAGCATTCCACAATTATGCAATCACAGTCTGTTCTCGTTTCAGTTTGCGGTCCACGTAGCTATGTCATTGTTCACTAGCTCGTATTTACACATACATAACATAATATCAATACAGCGATATCAATTTGTTTATGGATCAGTGTCTGTGTCTGTGTCCGAGTATAGCTCAGCTATCGTATCAGATTTTGAGTGCGCATTGTTTATCTATGATATACTATAACAATATATATTATACTATAAACAATTACAATGCAGTCATACATTCAATTAAACACGAGAATTTCATAAAATTATTAGAAACAGCCAACAATAAATTGAATTAATTTAATCAAATGCAATCAAAATCAAACTGCATTGGCATAGATCAAATGTTGGAAATGAAATTATTCATTTGAAGTTCTCTGAGTCGATAAACTTGAAATTTTAATCATTTTAAATGACTCTATAATTTATGAGTCATATTATTTGTGTTGTGAATAGTTCTTCCAATGCGAATCAATTATTTAGCAATAGAAACTTAATAATCAATGAATGGAAATACAAAATACTGAAGCTTCAATCACAGCACAGAGAATAAACTAATAGAATAATTTCGTTATGGAACTGAGTACTTAAATTCAACATCATATTGTAATTTATGTTCATAAATTAATATCATTAATATAGTATAAATTTTAAGTCAATATTTTTACTTATTTAAATTGAAATAAATGTTCTTCGCATTCTGATTTAGATGGGATAGATGATTTCTCATTAATTAACAATTCAACTTTATGTTCTTATATGAGAATCAAATATCCAAATCTATAAACTATTTACATTCATTTCAAGCTGCGATAAATATGACTTTAAATTCGTCAAATTTTCATCATATGAAATTACAAATTATTCAACTTGATCACATAGTATTTTAGCAATTTTCACTGATAAATCAAAGTGTTAATGGTATATCAAAACTTCTATGACATAAATAGATCAACTTATAATCACATACATTATTTGAAGTGATTCTTAATTAATATATGTTAGAGCGCATCCCTTAAAGTTCGTTATCGCTGCTCGTGCTCCAAACGCGCTTGTGTTTCTTGTGATTGTGTATTGGACTGTGGGCCTGGATGCCGCTCTCCAGGGTCCGCACTAGACCCCGAACGGGCACTACTAGAGCTATGCAGTTATTGGACTTGGCTTGGCGAGTTTTTCATGTTTTCATGTGTGTATATTGTGGTCGAGGTAATGCGTTGGGTTCTTGGTTGGTTCGTTGGTTCTGTTTTGTCTCTTTACCTGTATGCCAGAGTATGTGATTGGTGAAGTGCTCCTTGCGGCTGAAGCTCTTGCCGCAGATTTCGCAACGGAACGGCGTCTCGTTGGTGTGGGAGCGCATATGGTTGGCTAGGTGCTCCTTGCGCGTGTATTTCTTGCCGCAGACATCGCACTGATGCGGTGTTTGACCTGTTTATTGGTGGTACACAGAACAGAGAACAGAAAGTATAGGGTGGGGAGTTTTTTTTCTGGTTAGCGCAAGCATTTTCAACATTTTTCTTCATTTAACGCGATCATTTTCTTGAATTATTCTCTAAGCAATTCTTGCAAATTTCAAATGAACCCGCCAAAGAAAAAAAAAAAAAAAAAAAAAAAAAACAAACAAAAATGAATATCAAAATGATTGAAAACATAAACTTATATAAGATATGAGAAATAAATATGTAAAATCAAATATTTAAAAGGAACCCCCGGCACCGCTATGTGTGTGTGAAACTGGCCGTGGCTTGCGTTGGGTTCGAACGAAGCGAACGGAGGCTCGGCTTAATGGGTGGCGCATGGGCAGTGGGCAGTGGGCGTGGTTGTTGTTGCGTATATGTGTGTATGAGAATGTTTTTCATGTGTGTGCGTGTGCGTATCGTTTGTGAGCAAGTGTGATTGTGTGCGTGTTTGGCCTGTCACTCTATGAGAGCTGCAGATGAAATATATTGTATATATTTTATATTTGAAATACTGAGTACCCCTAATGGCACTTTCCACTCAAAGCTATGCTGATGCTGATGTGTGCGTGAACGTTAAGTTCGTCTACTGAATGAAGCGGTGTGTTCGACGCCAAGCTAAATCCCTAAGCTAAGTGTGTCTCTCTGTGTATGCGTGTGTGTGAAATGTGAATCTCTTCAGCCCACTTGGTGTAAGAGTTTTGTGAGAGTGTGTGTGTGTGTTTTCTGTCGCACAATTAACGCCGTAGGCACAGGCACAGGACGTTGGCAATCGACAAGCAGCAACAACGAACGGTTCCTTATTTATAAGCACCCTGTACAGCAGAGAGATAGAAACAGAGAGAGCGACAGCGAGAGAGCGTTGACAAAATGGGAAGAGCAAGGAAGTGGAACACTGGGAAACTACACGAGCAAGGAATAACGGAAGAATGGAAGACGATCTCAATGGGTTGCAGCAGTAGGAGTGGATTGGAGCGATTTGGGTTGATGAGTGAATGAGTGTGATTTGTGAGTGTGGGTGTGATCATGAGAGTGGGCGTGTGTGTGTGTGTATGTGTGATGTTGGCTTGGGGGGAGGATTGTTATGAGCGGTATGAGCGAGTATTGACACGAGCTGTAAAGTTGCACTGAGCTTAACAGCAATCGACAGCAATGATTGATAACGGATGATATAAAAGCTGAAGAAACTGATGAACTGAAATTGATTGAGCTATACTATTTAGTCTATCATGCCGTGCAAATATTGTTTATATTTTCGTATTCTTTTACAAAAATTTCTTTAATTTATCGATGATCGATATGTTTCAAAATCAATAATTTGGAAAAATATATAATTTAGTCACTTTTCTCAACTGCATTTGAAAATTTCTTCAAATTGAATGTTTTAAATAATTTTGAAATAACATTTTGACTATAAAGAAATCGTTACAACTATATGTTATCGATAAGGAAAATATAAGCATACTATCGATAGTTATGCAGCTCGTAAGTGTACTTTTTGGAAGCAGGCAAAAAGGTTTGTTTTGTGAGTGTGAGTGTGAGTGAGGTTTGTGAGAACAAATGCAGGGAAGCTGAAGGGCTACATATAAGTAGGCTTATATATAGGAAGCACAAGCAGTGTAGACAGTGGAAGGAAGGAAGCAGACGATAGGAAGTACGCACGAGTTGCGGTTACTTGATTGATTGATTTGATTGATCAATTGATTGATATTGATTTTGATTTGGTTGGTGTGATGTGATGGCTGTTGATATTATCTGTAGTTGATTTTGTACTCTACTGGAATTTGATTTGGTATCGGTATTTTGATTTGGATATGAATAATTTTTTGTTTCTTTTTTTTTTTAATATTAATTATACTTTTTTGCTGATTTTTCTTTTTTTTTGTAATTGGTAACTGGTAATTGTATATTTTTTTTATTTTATTTTTTTGTGGTCGTGGCGCTCGCCGCTCGCATTGTCCGCCCCCGGTCACCAAATCACACTCACCAGTGTGCCACATGTAGTGGTTAACATAGTGTTCCTTGCGCGTGAAGGACTTCTTACAAATATCGCAACGATGTGGCGTCTCACCCGTGTGTTTGCGCACATGATTGACCATGTGCTCCTTGCGCGTAAACGTCTTGGCGCAGTACTGGCAACGGAACGGTGTTTCGCCCGTATGCGAACGAAAATGATTGTCCAGATGCTCTTTGCGTGCGAAAGTCTTTTGGCAAATGGTGCAGGCGAATGGCTTGTCCGTTGAATGCCGTTTCATATGGCGCTCCAGACTCGTATTATTGGCAAACACATTGAAGCAGACAATGCATGTGAACATGGGGCCGCCAATATGGATCTTGCCATGCCTGGTCAAATCCTGCGATGTGGTAAAACCCTGACCGCATACCTGACACATAAACGGCTTGCGCTCGCTGTGGCAGCGACGGTGCACAATTAGCTGATAGCGAAATTGGAACATCTTGCCACAAATATCGCACACATGCGTACCAGTTGCTATAGGCGTGCCGTCTGGCGCCAACGCAACGCTCGATTGCCCATCAACGCCATGGATGCCGCCCTCCATTTTCGGCATTAGCAACTCACCCGTCGTCGTCGTCGTCGCATTGTTGTTGCCCCCATTCCCCCCGTTGCTGCCGGAGGAGCTAGTTGTGGTCACCGTGGCGCTGCCCTGCTGGGTGGTTCCAGCATTTGCGCTTGTCGCTGGGGCTTGCTGTTGCTGTTGCTGCTGTTGTTGCTGCTGGGCCGTGGCCGCAGCCGATGCGGCCGCTGCAGCCGCGGCTGCTGCATTGGCCGATGCCATTACAGCAGCGACGGCTGCATTATTTGTGGACACCGCCGCTGCAGCTGCAGCTGCGCTAGCCGAATGCGTCGTCTGCGGTGGTAATGGCGGTGGTGGCGGCAATTGCGGCGGTGGCAACTGGCTGCCATGCACCGCCGCCACATGATTCACCACATCGCCGTGGATTTTGCCAAATACCTCGTGGTATGTAAATAACTGCGATATATCCTCAATGTTCACTTTATACATTTCAATGCCGTGCGGCGGCTTGCTGCCGTCCTCTTTATGATCTGACTTGTTGCCGGGCAATGGCGGCGGTCCGCCCAAGGAGATGGTGGTGCCACCGCCAGTGGTCACCACCGGTGCTGAAACCACCGAAGGTGCCGAACTGGCAGCGCTCACGTGCTGCATTTAGAGTGGACTCGACACGGAATTTTGTTGCCTCTCTTTCTCTTGTTGGATTTATATTTCTTTCTTTGTATCTTGTTTCTTTGCGTGTTTCGTTGATGTTGGTTGCTACAGCTTCTTGTATTGTGCTTGTTGTTATTGTGGTTGTGATGGTTGTTGTTGCTGCACCTGAATCTCTTGTTGATGCAGCCTACATATTGTTGTTGTTGTTGCTGCTGTCGACTGCTTTCGCTGGCCGTCGTGGCTACAAAAAGTCAAGTGGAATTTGTTGACTCCGGTTATTGAAAATGGACAAAAGTGGGGATCAAAGGAGAAGGAGCGCTCGGCCAAATTACCATGTAGCTTATTCTTTTTCTTCTGTTGCTCTAGGATCTTTGCCCATCTACTCGTATATTTGATACTCCCGATTGCAGACTGAGTTATGATCATTCACCTGAAAGTAAACAAATATTTTAGAGATCGGTGAGAATATGAAGCTGATATAAGATAAATATCTACACATACAATCACAATTTGTCATATTTAATTAATTTATTTAATTCTAATTAAATAGTTAAAAATTCAAATTAAAAAGTTGTTATTTATTTGATTGTAAATTACCCTAACATTTAAAGGGTGCATTGATGCCTAGCGAACGTTAACCCTTCAATGAGACGTGGAAGTACAGTCGAGCCCCATACACATCTTGACGCACACGCACTCACACTCACACACGCTAAGCCATTTACATCAGACACCAAATCGCCTCCAAGTGTGAAGATGTTCAAAAATGCTGTTGACCAGTTATTGATTTTGTGATGATAAAGTGATATAAATTACCCATTAGCAGAGTAAAGAGTTGCAAAGCTCAAAAAGGAGCGTTCTTCTGTACACACAATGAAATAACTTTATATAAATTGTAAAAGTAAAACATACGCACGCACACACACAGAAATACACACACACACACATATATACATACGTAGAGAACGAAGTGTGGACGCAAAGAAATGAGAAAAGGGAGTGGAGCTGGTGATACAGATGGGTGTGAAGTGGGCTCCGTCGATATGCCTCGTTTTAGCAGGATTCAGGATTTAGATATCCAATCAGAGAATGCAAGCATTTGATAGAAATGTTGAGAGCGCGCATGGAGAGTATGAGAGCCAGAGTGTGAGTATGTGCGTGAAGTGTGAGAGGAGGCAGGTGGCTGATGTAAATATCAAGAAGTACAAATCGATTAAAGACAACGCGCTTTGGAGCGTATGTGTTTGAGTGTCTGTGTGCATATGTGTGTGTGTGTGTTTGCCAGAAAAACAATGGATGCCTGCGGGGGGTTAAGTAAGTGAGCGGCAAAAAGAGAGAAACGAAGCGCGCGCGCATGAGTGGGGGTTGGATAAATAGCGGGTAGCGGAGAGCATTGTTTGCATAGGTCCTGAGCTGTAGTAAGCGCTTAAGCAGCAAAAACTCCCCTCTCCTAAAACTGTGTTCTCTCACTCACTAACTCTCTCTCTTGCTCCTTCGCTCTTTGCGTCTTTCCATTTGATTGTTTTTACTGGCCCAGCAAATAATTCAGCTAAGCAGACGAGCAGACGACATACAAACACAATACAAATGTGTAAGAGAAGCGCAGGGAGTGGGAGAGTTCATGTAACACAAAAAGGGCGCCACTTTTTATATGGTGAGGTAGGAATATATACACATGCACACATGTATGTAATACATAAACACACATATATATATTAGTGTATGTAACTCCAGTTTTTGCTGCCTGGCCCTGGGAAAATGGGCGGTGCGGCAAAAACAAAAAACTAATAAGAACCAACAATAATATATAAGAAAATTCAATTTAAAATAGGAAATAAGAAATTTAGATTAATGAATTACTAAAGCATACATGTATTACGCCGAAAATTATATTATCTTAGTTTTATTTTAGTTAATTACTTCAATAATAAATTTGTGACTTTTTGCACTATTAAAATGCAAATACTTGGAATGCAATCAAGCATAGTAAATATGTACATCTAAATTTGCTATGTGCAACCCCCACTTAACTTACCTCATGCAATATAGCGCTGTGAATTTAATTGCCGCCCTTCTGTCTCACCAGGAGCAGAACTCACATGTTATATGAATTTCACAGTTAACCGGCTGCCTCGTTTAATGCACTTTCAATCAGTATTTCGTTACGTTCGGGCCACCTGTAAAAAGAGAGGCAACGATAACAGCAGCGGTGAGCAACAGTTTGTTTTGTGTTTATGTTTACGCGAAATAATCAAACGGACCGCGCGGTACAGTTGCACCCCCCTTCCCACTATTAACGTTTGCCGCTAACGCGCACCGAAGACCAAAAACCAGGGAAGGCAAAAGCAAATCAAGTGAAAATTATTTGCAGCCAATATGCAAAAACACACACACGACAGTTGTGTACATAGCCATACGATCATGAGTGTGTGTGTGTGTGTGTGTGTGTGCTTATTCAGACATACAGATGAAAGCTGCGTCACAATTAACGGCAGGGGGCGACAGACAATTGGCAGGGCTAGCATGATTGAAATTAGAGCTTGTGTAAATATTAAAGAAGAAATATCATATGTTGATATCCACATACATACATACATACATATGTACATAATATATACAAATAATTCAATGTATACTCCACCACACTCATATCGTTCTTATAAATCAAATAAATTGTGTATTAAGTACGTCTAAATGTACGAATGTACGTACATGTTTGTATGTATGCGTATACATTCATACATATGTATGTATAAGTGTATGCATGTACGTATGTATGGGCTATATCTATTGCGGTATGTGCGTGCATTGTCCGTCTTCTAAATGTTCAAGCTCTCTGCTTCAGTTCGCTTTTGGCTGTTATGCCAACAAAAAAATAAATAAAAATAAAAGAAAAAATGAAAAGAAGTTGTATTTTCTTCTCTTTTTGCCTCTCTCACTGGTTTCTCGGCCTGCGGTCGTCTCTTTGCTGTGTGACCTGGCCCTTGTCTCTTCTTCCTTGCTTTGTGCACTTTTATGCTTTGCTTTATTTGTTGTTTCGTTGTCCGCTCACACAACGTTCGCTGCCGCTCTCGCTCTTCTGAACGCTGTTGCTACCTCTCACTCTCACACTTACAGTGCCTCTCATTATTCATTGAACGACAACGCTCCCCGCTTCCCCATACACACCCCTCTGACGATTTGCACGACGACGCTACGTTCAATTCCAACCGCCTAAAGCGGAAAACCAATAAAAACGAATTGAATCGCAAAGCGTAAGTACAAAATAAAGCGAAAAAGGCTGCCACAAGCAAAACGAGAAAAAAATGAAAGCTAAGGCGGGCGCGCAACGAGCGAACCGAAGCGAAGAGCGAACAGTACAGGCGGCGCATACAAGTTTTGCGTTTTGCCCACATTCTATGCCGAACTCGAGTTATACATAGTTATAATTATTTCTGCTGTTGCCTCGTCTCTCGGCTTTTTATTTTTAATTTTGTTTGGTTGTCGCTCAATTTTTTGCTGAGCAGGGAGAGGCGAGAGAGAAAGAGAGAACGATACATATGTATTTTCATTACAGCCAATTAGTGTGCATTTCATAATTGTTTAATAAAATACAAAATACAAAAAATGTACTAAAGGCACCTTAAACCGAAAAAAAACTGTAAGAGTATACTGGGCCGATAATCCAAAACCTTAATTTAATATAACATATGGTAACCCAAAATCTAAAAATGTAATTCCTGTCAAAGATATTCAAATGTCATATAAGCACACATACAATCAAAGTTCACTTGCATTTGCATTTGCATTTATTAATACGAAAAATTCATTTTTCGAAAATGCAACCCTGTGCCGCCTTGCAAACAAGAAAATGACACGATGATGACGTTAATGGGAACTATGTGTGTGTTCGTGCATATGTATATTTATTACGTACACACACATTGACAAACACGGTCTCACAGATACAACACATAAGCACACAGCAGCTCACGTATCTCATTCAAACGCACACACACATTGGCATGCCTATGTCGCTCACACTCTCGCACACACACTGATGTCGACCGCAGTCATTTGATAATATTGTATTAGAATTTCACAAATGTACACTATTTTTCCAATCAGATTATTTTCCACTCACTTCCAGGACCACTTTTCACCACAAAGTCTCCCATCCCCCTCCAATTGCTTGTTTGCTTTTTTGCAATAACATTCGCTAAAATATGTTCTTATGACGCCATTATATGTATGTATGTATGAAAAATTACTTGATTGTATTGGTGGCGGTGCGTGTGTGTGGAAAAAACTTTGGCAGCACAGCAGCAACAGTAGTAGAAAAATCAAAACGCCGCGCGGGTGAGAGGCGGTGGTGTACGGTGTACAGAGCAAAGCAAACTGAAAATTGAATGAGACGCGGAGGCAGCAGAAGCAGAAGCGCGATGTAAAGTTCTTCGTGAGGCGCGTTCGTTTCGTGCCCTGCACGAATACACAGTGAGCACAAGCCGTCAGTATACCACGTTGCATAGAACAAACTTTTGAATGCTCTATATTTATATTATTATGACTACAAGCAAATCTGAAGATATTATTTATTGAATAAATATCCCCTGAGCTTTTATATTTCAAAAATTATATTAAATCGCTCCAATACTTCCACCATGGGTAATTCTTATATCTATAATTGAAATAATAAATATTGTAGAATAATTATTTGAATATCTTTAAAATTAAAAATAAAGGAAGCTAATTTTATGGAAAATGTGAGGATAAAAAGTTTTTACTCATATTGGTTCAAAGTCAAAATAGTTTCGAGCCGCCCTGCCTAGTGTACTCGTAAAGAGCTCTTGTTTCGTGTTCGGTGTTCCTGTTTCTCGTGGGAGAAGCAGCAAAATAGAGAGAGAGAGAGAGAGGTACAGAAACATTGTGGCGTATCTGTGTGTGTGTGCGATTGCGTTGTTCTTATTGACTGGCGTTGACTGCCTGTGTGCGCTGTTTTTCGGAGCTAGTGCTTTAGTATAAAAAGGCGGTAAAAATTGTATGTTGGAATATGGCAAATATGGTATCGAAATTGAACAATTTACTACCTTTTCACACAAACGGAACTTTTAATTTCCCAGTTTATTTTAAAAACCAAGCATACACATACACGCATTCACATCGATATGCACATGCACATTTTACTTACAGCGGTCAGACCAGAAATCCAAGTTCTTTCGACTTGCCACCACTCCTCTTTTTCATGCTTGTGTATGTTGCAGCAGCAGGCGTCCCGGACCGCGACGCTATAATTCTTTTATAATGGCGACTCTAGACGGATGCCGACAACGTGGAAATTTCATACCGCACGCACTTTAAATAAACTGTTTTTGTAAACATTATGCACTACGTTTACACATATTTTTGAACCTTTTAAATATGTGCATTTTTTGTGCACAAAATGTGAAGAGCAAGGAGAGTATAATTAGGGATGATTGTATAGCAGCGCCATATCGATATTTGGGTATTCATATTCATTTCGATAGTGCTTGTACGATAACAAAAACGATATTGAATTAGCACGAACTCTCATTCTATTTTGAATTATTATTATTGTATTACTGTATTTTGTTGTGAAACATGATTATATAATCATCCAAAAATAAATTGCTATTGACACATATTGTGCATACAGCAAATGACAATGAGCTATGCGATAAGCAATCATCGATATATTTAGAATATCGCTTGAATGTAATGTTAGAAAACGTTCCATTTATTTATATTTGATTATGTTTATGTTCTATTGTTTCGTTAAGTTAGAAAAATAAACAAGGCAAATGCATTTTATTTTAAATGAAAAAAAAAAAAAAAAAACGAATCGACTTTACTAGTAACTAATAAAATATTAATAAACTTTTCTAGATGATTGGTTTAAATTCTTAATTCTGTTTTTCACCTAAAGAATTTTAAAGCACTTTCTCAATGTCTACAATTCTACATAATTGAAAATTGAGTTTATTTGTTTTTATTTCGCATTATCGTAAAATAAATTACAAAATAAAATACATTTTTTGCATATAATTCGTATTCTTATATGACTAAATATTAATGTACTCACAAATGTTCGGTTAAATATTGCGCTTTTTTGATATTATTATTAATCAAAACAAATCTATTTAGATGCATACCACGCCCCATACAGTTGTGCTACGCCTCGCTTCGTTCAAGTATATATGTATATAAATATATAGAGTATCAACTAATACGAAGCTATAAGGAAATTACTTAACATAAATGAAATCTAGTAAAATAAACAAACAATATTAAATTCGTTACAAATTCATAGAAAAAGTTTTGAGTTTTTTTTTCTTGAGGGGCGCAGATGCTGTTAAAATTTTTAGTCACTTCGGAATTCATTTAGAAAAGTCGATCTGTTGCGGTCGTGACTGCACATACCAAATTACAAAAATTATATTCCTCAATATTTAAGCTTTTTATACAGTGCAATTTAATATTTATTTTATTTTATTTTTTGTTTTAGTTTTTAAGTATTTTTGTTTTTGGCAATTGGTTACGCGCTGTTGTAGTTGTTAGGCATATTTTAAAAGACATCCAAATCCTTGACTGCAATCGGTAGTATTGTATACCATTGTGTGTATATATATAAAAAGTGGTCCTTAATTCGAGACGTGGTGTGTGGGTGTATGTGTGTGTAAAAGACATTCATTACTTTCTTTAAATTTTCTTGTATGTTTCATTTTGTATGCGGCTTTCGTTAGATTTTGGTGCAACTTTCTTGTAAAGTTAGTCAACTATTTAAATCTTAATTAAATGATAGCAAATGGAGTTCAAGTCATAAGAAATGTATAAATTGAAGTTCGTTTAAACAAATTGTGTTTACACTTATAAGCGCGACTCTTTCAGTTTTACAATTTCTTAGTTTCGTTTCTTTGTGTGGGAAGGACAAGTCGGTACCGCTACGGCTTCTACACAGAATAGAATACAGTTTTTGTTTGTTTAGTTTTTAATAAGCTAATATAAATCACGATAATATGGCCACGCTGCGTCGCGGTCCGCCCTGGCTGACATTGTCCATTGAGGACCATTTCTTGATGCCATTCTTGAGCGCCTCGGCTGTCACCTTGTCCTGCATGACGCGCGACATGGCCTCCAGCTTCTGGGCGCGCTCCTTCGACAGCGGCTCAGTGGGAAAATTGAGCTCATTCGCTTCAGCAAGCGTGCGCAAATCAAAATAATATTTGGCATAAACGGAAGAGGGCACATTTATGTTGAACTGCAACAGCTCCAGAAACTGACGCTCCAGCTCATTCATATCCTCGACCGTAATATCCTTGAGTATCTGGCAGTAGTCGACATTCCAGACTGCCTGGTCATCCCACACCTTCGAGGCAAGCAGTATGGCACCTGCAGCAGACAGACATTAATATTATTATACAAATTTTCCGCACATTTCTGAAGCTCGGCAATAGACTCTTCTGCCTTGACATACCTAATACCATGCGCTTCCAGTTGCATGGCCCCACATCTAGCTCCGCATAGGTGAGCAGACGTTCCAGATAGACTAGAGTTATGATCGCGCACTCGGCCGTCAGCTGGGCGGCATTGAAGAGCGTGCGCACAAACTTGTAGATCTGTCGATGCTCTGGATTGAGGGTGTCATAGTTGTCGGGCACATGATCGTGTGTTAGGGGATGCAGCTTCTCGTCGAAGATGTCCAGACGTCGATCGGATTGCCGATTCTTGATGTGATAGTAAATGGCCAATGAAACACACTTGACGGTGTTCTTCAGATTTGGCTGGGACACGGTGCTATCATCTAAATAAATTGTGGAGCACGAGGAGCTCTTTTTCAGTCCACCACCTCCAGCGATGCCGCCACCGGAGCTATTGGCGCCAGGCGTGTTGGAGCCGCCGCCGCCACCACTGCCACCCATGCTGCTATTTTGTTGTGCAATCTGATGCTGTGAACGTTTGCGCGACATTCCACCGTTTTCCACTTTGGAGCGCTCTAGAAACATGGTTGCTGCCGTTGGATCCACTGAGGGATCCTCCTCACCCTCGAGCGCCTCACGCTCCGAGATGTGCTGCAGATTGTGTTGATTCTCAGTGTTGTCCATATTGCTGTTGCCCTGCTGATGATGTTGTTGGTGATGATGCACGGACATTGCAACGCCACCAGCTCCATGATGACCGTCCAGCTGATGCTGGGATGTGTGCGGCAGTTGATGCCGCTCCTCATACACTGGCGGTATATCCTTCGACTTTCGATCCGACTGTGGACTCGAGTAGGCGCAGCACGAGTTCTTGTTGCCCATGATGATGCACCACAAATGCCGTCAATAATAAATGCAACTGCCTAGCGCTTGACTAGTTTTCCGGCTTCTGCACTCTCTCGTTCTCTCTCTCGCTCTTGCTTACGCTCTCTTTGGGTGTCTCTTAGACAGCGCCTCGCTACACTCAACTTGGGGCAGAATTGGGTGCTCACGCTTTGGTTTTGCGATTTTTGGCACTTGCTCGTTTGGGTTGGATACTCGGAGCGTTTCTTATGAGCATGGCGCTGGCGTATCGTTCAACAATAACTGCTGCAACTGCTGCTGCTGCTGCTTGTAAGTGCCTGCAACCAAGCGCCAGACAAGACTATTTAATCTGCAAATACATAAAAACAGTTGTTACTATACCAAGTGGTATGAGATAAGCCCGGATTTAATGGGCCATTTGCTAAAACAGCTCTGAATTTGCTGTAGTCGTAGATCTAATATTCCTGTAATGTAAATTATTCCCAACTCTCGATAAGGTTGACTCTTTTTGAGATAAATGATGATAACGATGCTGCCCGATTACCCCGCGATAAGATTTCGTTTGCGCCTGTTTATTTACAAAGCTCTGGCGCTTAGATTATTAGTGCAAAAAAATTAATTAGGCCTAGGCACGACACTCGCTTGGAATGTGGGTGGACGGCGCCGCAAAGGCGTGCCAAGGTAGTCGAGCACTGTTGCTTAATTTGGTAAAAGGAAAATTGAGCGAAAAAAAAAACACGAACAATATTTAATGGGGCGGGGCTCGTTTTTATGGTCAGGCGGTTTGCATTTATATCTCAGGTTTAGATTAGTATGTCGCACTGTCACTTGAGCGAAACGTGTCGCCTATTAAACATTAATCATGGCCTTTTTTCACAAATAACAAATAAACAACAACAAATACATTCTCCAATTTGCCGCTGTGTGGATGGCAACGCCATGGCAAAAACTTCACTCACACGTACATACACACGGCACACACATATACATATATCTAAATATTGACGTACACAGTGGAGTAGTTGAACTAGTGTGGTTAATAAAAAAGCTTTTTATTCAATTATTAACGCTGCAACATCGTTCAATTTTGTGCAGTCAATGCAGCACATCTCAATTATTATATCGACATTTTTGGTAGAAAGCACTAGCGAAAAAATTGGTTTTTGTTGTGCAGCTACTTACAATATACTGACAGTAAGCACGCAACGTGTACATAATACCGTTCACATGTTACGTTTACATGCAATCAGCTGACCATGTTATGCCCAGTTGGTACTGTTAACTAACGCCTAGAATCATGATATGATTACTAAATTTCGATAGTAACTTATCGATTTTAAGATAATTTAAATAAACGTTTAATTTAAAAGACGCATTTAATAGGTTTAATAATATTTTTATTAGTATATTAAAAGTCATATGGTGTTATTATAATTTCTTGAAGGTTCTTCGTAATAAGCACACAGTTCAGCCATTCATTTAAGTAGTTTTAACCCGCTGATATATATGAGTAATAAACATTACGAGTTTAACAAAAAATAAAAGAAAATTTCAAGAAATTTTTGCGTTAGACTTTTATAGTAAATGAAACTAAATTATTTACAGTTTAGCGTGCAGTATGTTTGCTATAGGAGTATATTAAGTGTTGTGGTGGCTAACAAGTTATTGTGAACCTGTGCACATTTATTTACACAAAAAACCTATATTTTGTTACTTAAGTTTTATTTTTCTTATTTTGTTTTTCTTTTTTCTTTGGTTTGATTAAGTATAACATATGTATGTATTATGCATTATAATAGTTTATACTTTAAATGTAATGATTGCTTTGAACTCATATTTATACATAATTTATTACTTTCTGATTTACACATTGCAAAAAGAGAATATCATTTATGATCATTGTTAAATTGTTTTTAAAGCATCTGAACCTTGATGAAAGCTTTTAAAATCCTTGAAATCCTTTAAATTCGTGCATAACATATATTTATTTTGATTTCATGTTATATATATGTATATATTTATCATACTGTATTGTTATTGTAATTATTTTATTTATATGTATGTTTGTTTATAGGCATGTTAAATATTTATTTGTTTTGCTACAAAACTACAATTCGCTAAGTAACTTTTAAAACATACATGCTTGAATGTATTTTTCCACTAACCCATATAACATATGTATACATACATACATGGAATATCTAGAGCAAAAGTTGTTTGATTCCTCACTAATAGATATGCGGCAGATCCTATTGTCGCTCACTCGCACACACTTAGCCAAATTAAAGAACTTTACAGCCTAAAGGCGCATCGTGTGATCGAGCGAGAGGTCCGATGCGGACGTTAGGTTCCACCATACACCATTTTGTTTTTGCTTACTCTCAGCGCACTCTCTCAGATGTGAGGAAGAGCTTTGCAACTGTATTAGTGTTTGCTACGCTCACACAAAAATGTTCAATTTGGCGTGACTCTTTGTGGAATGAGTAACAAAGCGTTGACTCTCTTCGGGATGAGAATGCACGCACACTTGTGTACGCAAAATAACATTCATACGCCTGTGTGCGTAAGTCTTGCTGTTTATTCTAGATGCTTGCTCTATTTATGTGTATATGTATGTATGCATGTATTTTCCAGTATGGTTAGTGATTTGTACGCTATATTTGGTAACAGATTTTAATAACAATATTTCATGAGGCTTTCGAGCCAAACAACTGGAACTGAAGGAGCTGCACAGACACCTAAATGACCTGTGTCCTATGTATATCTTATGCATTAATACAGCGTTCACCTTTAGCTTCTCTTCTTCTTTCTATTAATTTTGTACAGAGTTCTACACAGATATACAAATAGAAACAGTTTATATAGCCGACTATATACTGACCTAATCGCTTTGAGCGTTCAATTTGTTTCGATACACATATCCTTTAATTTGTTATTCAATTTATATACATAATATGTATTCGTATTTATGTATGTTATATATATGGTATATGCTAAATAATTATGTATGTATATATTAGTATTTACTGTAGCTATAAGATTACACATATATGTATGTTTGTTTGTATGTATGTATGTTTGTATGTATGTGTGTAAGTAACTAACTGCATGGTTTCAGATGGCTCATACGGCAAATGGGCTCTGGCCCAACTTGCATTGTTTTTACCAACTACAGTAGTTAATTACAAGTATTTACTACCTTAATAAAGCTATGATCCCAATTTCAGCTGATAATTTGGTACCTTACTGCTAAGCACATTTACCACTGTCCTTTAGGTCAGCCCCATTGAAACGCGCGCACCGTCTACAATCTACATAGATATCTTAGCTGTTTATCGATTGGTCGTAGCAGTGCTAGTAGCAGGGACTACCCCTAACGCTCGCTGTCCAGTCTGTCGCCTGTGTCGCTGTGCTAAAGGGCAATGGTAAATCTTAAAAGAATGGTCCCGCTATCAGACATTTTGAAAAACGTTTAAAACATTTTAGTTAGGTTTCTTCTTCGAGTACGAGAAAAAACACACACAATCAAGAAATCAAACAGAAAAGAATCATCTAACATATAAACTCTGGTAGTTAGTTGTTATCTATGTTTTTTTTTTTTTTTTTGATTTTTTTTTTGTTTTTTTGTAAACATAAGCTTTGTTCACGTATAAAAATAAATATGCACTTTCCATTACGAGTATGCTTTAGATAGTTTATATATATATTTTGTTTCCTTAACATTCATATATATATATACGCTATAGTTATTGTATGTATCGATTAGGTAGCCATGTGCATATGTCGAGGGAATTCAAGTAAAGAAGTTTTAGATAGTCTGTTAGAGGTCTTTTAGATTTTAACACAAGTTAGTATAGCTAATTCAATATTTCAGGTATTATTTGCCATATCAGTTATCATTTTTGTTTTTATAATAGTTAGGTACTTAAGATCTAGACATCCTCTCCAAAGTAAACAAAAATAAATTGAGCAAAGTTTAGTTTTTCGTGTGGAGAAAGAAATGAAATTTGTTTTTATAGAAAATAGAAATTTAATAAAAATATTTAAATACATACAGAAGTGTTGTGAATTAAAAAACATAAACATACATATAATAAATTCTGAAATTCTGTTGAAAACTTAAGAAATTATATATATATATCGTATATGTATTGGTTAAATTTAGAGTTAGGCTCTAAAGTAATTAAAGTAAATATATATTTCAAACTATGAACTAAGCTAAGTAAATGCTTATTAATTGTTGTTGCTTATGCTGCTGCTTCCACTTCTTCTTCTTCTTCTTGCTGTTGACAAAACTTTTTAGAAATGTCAACTATTTACAAAATATTTTGTGTACTATATAACCAAATCTGAAAAACACTTTCAAATTGTGCCTTGCTCTAATATACATATATGTTATCTCTTTTTCAACAATTATATATATATATATATAGTATATATATTATATAGTACATTCATAAATATTCTTATTTTTGTTGTTTTGATTGATCTACTAACATGAAAATATTGCGCGTAAGAAGCTGCACACATCTAGCCATTGTATAATTATTTATCTCCTTCCTCCACTTCATTAACAATAATTGTTAAGCAACATATTCTAATTGTTGTTTATACAATTGTTCGAGTTATTTGCTTGGTATCATCTGTGCAGAGATATTAGGTAAAACTATTTATGTATGTATGTTTGTATGTATTTATCTGTCTTAACGCTATTGCATATCGCTTAGGGTTTACTCATTTAACGGTTTGTCAAGGATATCTCAATTCAGTTGGCCGCTGCACTCTCTGCTGCCGTTGCTTCCTTCGGCTCCTCGGCTCCGGCTTCCTCGCCAGCGGGCTTGGCCCCACCCTCGGCCTGGGCTTCGGCTTCGGCTGCTGCTTCGGCTGCGGCGGCCAGCGCACGCGCCTCGGCATCTGTGAGGGAAAGACGAAAATGGATTAGATCAGGCAAATAGAATTATTGGAACTATTGAAAAAAATGTAAAGTACTTGTAGATGGGACAGCGGGAAATAACTTGCTTTCGATATATTATCAATTTCCTCTACAGGCTTCTTAGTTTAAAAAAATTTTTATTTTTATTTATTTATTTTTAAATGAAAAACAAATTTGCCATATTCTCAAAACGAATGAATTCTTGAGAACTCTAAGCATTAAACTATTTATTGCAATATCTACATTTACATATACACATATATTACAGGACAAATACAACAGATGCTTGTTCTAAGTAAAATTCCCAGCGCCATAAATATTCTCGTCTCGCTATGCAAAATTTTGGAGATTTTAGTTTTGAGGTCCTATTCAAGTAGAGGCATTTTGAGTATATAAATTTACTTGGACTTGATTTGATTTTACATCTGACTTTTTCTTCGACGATCTAAGAGCTCTGCGTAAGAGAATGATAAGTTTTGTAATAAAGTATGAAGATCAAACGTGAAATACGTCTTGGCTAATGTAACTACGAAAAGACCAAAGCGCTACGAGCTATAGTATTACGGCGTGGTATTTCCTACCTTTGATAGCCTGCTCCTTCCAGATCTTCTTGTTCTCGGATAGACATGTCAGCCAGGGCTTGTTGATGCAAAACTTGCTGCCGGGAGTCAGGCTCTTGCGGGTCATAGAGCAGGTGGCCTTTTTCGCATCGTCGGCATCGTTATCAATGTTCTCCTCGGGCAATGGCGCCGGCTTCACTTTGATGGCCGGCGCAAGGGGCGTCAGTATGTGCTCAAGCATGTCGGACATGATGGTCATGCTGGGGTCCACAATGAAGTCGATGAAGCCGATTTGAGATTCGGCGACGAGTGTGCTCTTGCGATCGCAGAGCGGGCTGAAGGGCAGACCCAGCTCCTTCTCGAGATCGCCCTGCCGAAAGAATTCCTCCAGCAGCAGCATGGTCCAGCGATGATGCACATCCCAGTGCTTCGCCGGATGCGAGATATCACAGCAGTGCAGCACCAAGGACAACGCCTTCGACTTGTCTATGGTGGGCTCCTGCAATGTCAGCAGGCTGCGCATTATCTTCAGCTGCTGAAAGTGGAACGTCATGTCGGTGGCCAGCACCATATCAATGATGAGAGTGCGCAGCTCCTTGTACTCGTCCCGCGACAAGTGCGACAATATATTGGCATCCTCCTCCCTCATCAGCCGAAAGCTGGCGCTCACATGATGATTCTCCAGCACCGCCCGATCGTTATAGAGCAGCGCCGTCTCCGAGCCAGACATCACGTGGAAGTTGTTAGTGGTGCCCGTGTGCTCAAAGTCGTGCAGCAGCGCCGCCAGCAACGAGGCAAAGATCTCCAAGTCCGTCAGCCAGTTCATCAGGCCCGTGTTGCACAGGCAATAGTGCATCGTGTGCATCACGTCCACCGCATGCAGATTGTTGTGATATGGATTCCGGAAGCGGCAATAGCCCTCCTCAACGCGATTCAAGAATGTCTCCAGCACTCCCGGCGATATCTTAAACTTGTGCATTGCCCCATATCGATTGAGCAGATCGTAGGCAACGTACTTAATCACCTGTCCGCTGGCTGCCTCGGTCAATGCAAACACGTCGAACGTCCAGTCGTCCAGATTCTAGAAGCGAAGCATATATATGGATGTAAAATATGAGTATACATATGTTACACAAATATTATAAACTGTTTGTTGGATGATCTAGAATTTTTTTGATATATACAGGCAAACTATAATAATGCATAGCCCAATAACTGCTTCTGTTAACTGAGCTCTGGCTAGTAAAAACAAAAATCGAAATTCTATAAAATACATATGAATCTACCTTAAAAATTTGGAGACTCTAGCTCTTAAGATGTAGAAGATATAATTTTAGAACTAATTTTTGAAAGCGTTTTTAATCGATAACAGGAAAACTGGAGTTGTTATCGATTTTTGGAAACACAATCGATATGTGCGTGGATATACGGACTTATACAAGAAATTTCAAGTCTCTAGCTCTGATATATTCTGAGATCGACGCGTTCAAACCTACAGACGGACAGACAGTTAAATGGACAGAACTAAGTCGCCTCAGCTCGTTGCTGTCATCAAGAATATATATACATTATGGGATTTGCCACGCCCACCTCTGCCTGTTACATATATTTTAACATTGCACTTATACCTGGATCTCCCATTTTCAATAGGTTCGGGAAATGAACATTTCCCAAAGCCTATACTTAGCAGCTCTGGCGTATTAGTCTTTGGATAAGTTATTTGTTGATCAGTTCGGAAATTAGAGTTACTCTAGCATCTTTCGACTCTCACTCACCTTAAGAAGTTTGACTACGTCAGGTGGAAACTGCATCAGCGTTGAGCTGGACACACGCCTGTAAATGCGATCCACGAAGATGCCAGCTCGTATGGCATGGGCAACCGATCGGAATCGGGGCTTCTCGTCGCTTCTGATGCGGCTGGTTGCCATTTGGCGCGTGAAGGTGGAGGCCAACCACTCACGCACCTCCGGCGGCACCGCATCCGGCTGCACCTCGGAGAGCTCATCGTCCTCGTCGGCCAGGCGCCTAAAGGGGTTTGGGTTGGGGGTTTGAAGAAAAAACAATTTATTAGTTCAGTTTCATAAAAGATTTTCAAATAATTTTGAAGTTTTATTATTTTTTTTTTTGGCTAATAAAATGCTTTAAGAAAACTCATAAGAAATGAAAATTAATTGACAATCAAAAAATAGAGTTAGCGCAATTTTGTTATTGTTTTTTTTTCTTTTGCTTTTTTTTTTTTTGTGTTAAAAAGTTAAAACAACACAGAGAACATAAAAGTTATTTTAAAAATCAATAAAAATATTGTGTTGGGAGGTGGAGGGAAAGTTGTTTGGGGCTGGTGCTTGGAAAACCAATTTCTATATTATTTTTGTTTTTTTTTTTCTGTAAGATAAGTGTAACAAAAAGTCGATTTTGGTTAGCTAACATTATTAAACGGGATGCATCGTAGAAAATAAATAACAATTGGCTAAAAGGCAACGAACAGAATTGGACGGGCATAGTGCATGCTTGTATGTGTGTGTGTATGTGTGGGTATGTCTGTGTTGGTGTATTGACTAAGAGAATATTTGCTAATTGCATGCCAAGTTCTAGCAGTGCAACAAATAAACGTGCAACGTGCAACAAGACGAACCAAAGACGACGATGACGCCTCCTGCGAATAGATATCAACTTCAACTTAAAGTTTAACTTTGTCCGGAACTTACAAGTCCCGGATGCCTTCGAGCACTATGTTATGCTTGTAATTGGCATTGATAACAATTTTGAAATATGAAACTAATTGGTCCATCTGGCAGGTTTGAGCTACGGCAGCCTGGACTCTCCCAATCACTGCATTTCTATGGCAACGATTTTCCACTCATTTTCCAAGTATTGAACACACACACACACACACACATGCACACAATTGTTAGTTGGCAGAAAAAATATAATATCATGGTTAGCTCGTTATGGCGCTGAGCTGAGAGCAAGAGCACTTAAGCGAATGCCATCGAGCTGCTGTGGGACCTTAGCGAAATTAGCGTCATATTCAATTATGCTTAATTAGTCGCAGTGCGGGACTACCCTTGATGTCGCTATGGTATTTGTGTTTGCTTGCCCGCTGCACAGTTTTTGTCCTCCGATTTCAATGCAAAAGTTTTTAAGCTAGCAATAGCATATTTAATTATGCGCATTTTATTATATATATAAATATTTATACATTTTCTAGGAATTTTGAAATATGAGCTGCAACTTGTCTTAGTTGACATGGCAAAGTTGTTTAAAATAGACATTTCTTATACTGTATGAAAGATAGAAAAAGTAATTATATTTAGAAACATTTATTTGGTGAATAATTGGAGTTGCAAGAGAGTCAAATATGTCAACAATTTTTAATGCATTAAAATGATCACGATTCCCAAAAACCTTGAAAAATTTAAAATTTTGTTTCAAAACATTAAAGTATAATATACTTGAACACAGATTTATTAAATATTGAAATTATAAAATATTAAATAGGAGCGTTTCTCCGGAAAAGCCTATATTTTATAGCCATATGGTATTTTGCAACTAACTTGAAAACCCCATAAGCGATAATCTTCACATCTATGACGAACTTCTTTACATTTTCCTTTTGAATTTACTATTTTGTTGAATTTACTATTCGGCTAACTACACCCCTACCTTAAACAATTTCCACTCTCTTAATTAATTTTGTCTTACATAAGATAAAGATTTTTTTAAAATGTAAAAGATGTTTGGAAGAAAACACGTAGTTCTTTAAGATACCCAAAAACTGACTTACAATTGTTTAGAGTCTTTCATTGTTTAGTGTTAAGCGAACTGCTATCAAAGAGATCTTGTATAAGTAACTAGATTTCCATCAAGTTTCTGTTTATTTCAGCTAGAAATTGCGTTTGCATTTGAAAAATATATGGCATCTCGCGACTCACTCCTTACTTTTCATTTCTCATTCCTAAGCCGACTTCCTCTATGCCAACAAGAGTTTTCGAATAACTGAAGGTCTGGAAATTTCTCATTCGCCTTTCAGCCAGTTGCAGAAATAGTTGAGCATAGTTTGTGGGCTCTTTTAAGCCACACGCTGGCAAAGTTATATAACTTCGACCGCAATATATGAGTATGCGCCATCCTGGACACAGCCCCTCCCCCAGTACCATCATTTCTGTGGACACTTGTGCAATTGCTATGTACGAGTGACAAGTGCTACGACGACTAACGCAAATACACTTCACTCCTTTTGCATATATGTATGTATGTAGTTATTTTCAGTTTTTTGTTTGCTTGGATAACTACTAAATTGTGGAGTCATTTAACTGGGATTTATTTATGTAATACCATTCCGTTTTCATGGCATGCTCCGCTTCACTGGCACACAACATTCTTTATTAACGGTTTTGTTTAACTTTTTTCTTTTTCTTTTTTCTTTTTTTAAACTTAGTTTACAACTGTGTAGCAATTGTATAACAGTAATTTAGTTGTTGAGCTATACTTTATGTTGGTCGCACCTTTTCTTCTTTTCCTGCGTCTCCTTGGCGCGATACTGAATTATGAACTGTATTAGCTCGACGGTTATGACGCTTTGACGGCTGCTTTCACGCCTCAGGCGACTCATCGCAACGATCACGAAGCTAATGCTTCTGATTCTGCTCGCTAGAGGCGCTGGGCGCTCTGCTGTTGCTGTTGCTGCTGCTGCTGCTGCTGCTGCTACTGGTGCTGCTATTCCTTTAACTGTTGTGCTTGTTGTTGTAGTTGTTGTTGCTGGTGTAGACATGGAGCGGCGTTGACTTTGCGCCAATGTCAGCTATTTTTTGTTCTATCTATGCTCGCATTTGCACACTCGAAATTAACCGTAATTTATCACTGTACAGCAGCGCGCGGCAGAGAGTGAGCGAGAGAGAGAGAGAGTGGGCGAGAGTAGAAGTGGGAGAGAGCGCGAGCTTAAGCAACAGCACTGTGTCACAACAGTTTGCAATTAGCGCCAAATTCGCTTTTAATGATGACAACGGAGCGAGGCAGGACGACAGAGAGAACACACGTGTGCAAATATTTGTGCAGCGTTTTTATTTTATACTTGTATTCGGTTTTCTTTTGGCCTTTTCGCGTTGAGCGTAGTAATCCTTTTTGGACAGCAGTTGCTGCGTTGCGCGTAGTTGGCCCGTTGCGAGTTAAATTTAAACTAAATGTTGTGCCAGGTGCGCGAAAGTTCCACAACTTCGCGAAACTGGAGCTGGTTGCGTGCCTGTGCCCCAGGCCCAGGCCAGGCTCAAGCCAGGAAGCCGCCTACTCAGAAAGAGAGAGAGAGAGAGCCTGTGCGTGCCGCTGCTGCTGCTGCTACTGCTTGCCCTATGTACTCTAGTAATTCGTACACTCAGTACACTCGACCACACGCCAGCAGCAGAGCACACAGTGCACAGGGCTCTGTATGGGGCATATCAATTATGTCAGCAAACAACAAAATAAATAAAAGAAAGTAGTAATAATAAAAGAACAGGACTCTTTGTGGCGACCTTAGCAGGGCGCAGACAACTTCACCCCGTTACAACAGCAACTACAACGACATGCAAGCAGTCGCGTATATTTTTCGTTTACAACTTATTTTCACAAAACAATTATACAAAATGCTAAAAGGCATTATCAGCAGCAATAACAACAGGAATAAAAATAATAATAGCAGGGCTATAGCCATATCCTGGCCGGCTGATAAACACGACAACATCACGAGCACAAAGGCTTTTCAGGAACTAACTTCCTCTTTAAGCCTTGACGTTTGCCTTATTGTGTTTAATGACTTTGCATGCCTGCCAGAATCTCAAGATGGCGGACGCCGCAACCGCGACGGCACTCAACATTTCGCCCTGAGGTCAGCATTCAAGGTAGAGCCCGTAAGCGTTATAAAAACTCTTCTTCCCCCCCTTCCCCAACCACATGTACACACACACACACAAACACTTTGTGTGTTTCGCCAGCACTTTTGTTTATCTTGGCAATTGCATTTCAATTCATTTCATTTGATTACATTAGTTTTGTAGCATTTAATTTCGCCGCGGCGAATTGCGTGCTATTCGTTTGCTTGCATCACTTATCGGCACATTTGCATGTTACGAGCACGCAAGCTTGCAGCGCAGATTGAAATCACGCGAGTATCAATTGAAAAACGCCTGAATGTAGGCAACAGGTGGCGCTCTTGCGTGAAGCGTTTCAATTGAAGACTTCTGCTAAACACTATGTGCGTCTCGCTCGCACACATTTAATTGAAGACGACATGTGAAATCACAGATAGATTTCTATTTAAACAGCTTTAATTAATCTTAATTGGCTGTGCTCTTGCTGCAGACAGTTTCTTTGCTCAGTTTTGCAAAACAAAAGCTTCTTAGAAATTGAATCTTTAGCGGTGGCAACAATTTTCGGCTTAAGGCCATTTGTGGCCTAGCCCAGCGAATGCCTAGCGTAGCATTTTGTGGCTTCTTTATCCAACGCTAAAATGTTTGAGCTTGATTTTAAGGCTCATTTGAGGGCAAACCGGCAATGGAGCTCCCAGAAATATGCCACTTAATAGTTATGCGAGCAATTTCCTTTACCTCCGTCTCCGCCTCCGCCTCCGGCTGAAGCACTTTTGCTGTTGTTGTCGTCGTCGACGCGTTGTTGTCATTGCCAGCGAACACGGGAAATTGCGACCAAATTGGCAGCATTGTTTTCTGCCAATGATTTTCCTGTATTTTCTGAAGGGCCACACACAAAGCGGCCGACAGACTCTGTAGAATGCGGCATCACATGAGCTGAACACAGATGCGAGTTGCGTGCATGAAATCATTAGGTTTTGTGAGTTTTACAATGCTGCCAGAGAGTGGTAACTGATTTTTGGACCATACTTCATGTGAAACTGGGTGAATTAAAGGAGAATGAAAAACTCTTATCCAACTATTACAGGCAAATCTCCATTTGCAGGCTTTTGTGACTTGTTTTAGCCAAAGATGTAAATATCTTCAACATAGAAGAAGTAATATTGGCCAACTCCACATATTTTCGAGGCAGCCCTCGCATATTCGCACCGATGGCCAGACTGATTAAAGTGTGTATTCGCTGTGTTCGGCTGTTTTGTATTGTCAAAGGAAAGGAAAGGAACAATGGCTCGGACATCAGCTGAAAGGTCCTTGCAATTTAATGCGTCTATTTCACTGAAATCCTATGTGCGTGCGTGCGTGTGTGTGTGGGCCCATTGCTGCTGCTGCTGCTGCTGCTTATGTGGCAAAAATTGTCAGTTAACATCATTTATTATTGATTTTCCCTTTGTATGGCCGTGTTTTGCTGCCTTTCAAAGCATTTTCGCTGCTATGGTAAATATTCTTTTTGGGTCACTTAGTCGTACTGCTGTCCGCTGTCTGCTGTTCCTAATGTTTCACGCGAAAGATGATTGATGAGTGCGACGCGATATATCCATACAAATGTTCTACTGCCCACAGAATTTTCGCTAACTGTTACGATTTTGTTGGTATATAACTGCCCAGAGACATCTAAGTATCATGGAGCGACCTTCAACTTAACAGCTTGACCTAATTTCATTCCATTCCAATTCCGATACTCGTTCGCCAATGTGAGAAGAGGATATTGGTGTACTGGGAATGTCCAAGCTGACATTTTGGTATATGGAAGCCCGCCCAGACGAAAGTACGCATCTTGGGGCGTGGCAAGTACAACCGAACGGAGTTTTATTTAGTTTTATAGTTGGTGCAATTGCTTTGGGGGATTGGCAAGCCGGAAGAAAACTGTATATTCCACACCTTTAGTGCTGGGATCAATAAATTTTCAGACACTTTCTTCACTGATAAGCCTATAAATTAATTGGCATATGAACGAGTATTCTGCAGTCAACTCTGACCAAGTGGAACATTTTTACCCATGCCTATTTTATGAGGGTCCGCGTCGAGTTTTGCGTTTTAATTGCCTGCAATTTCGATCCGCGGGTGAAATGTTATAATGAATCATTCATTGGCATATTTAATGAGTATATTTGTGTGTAGGTATACATGTATTTGGGCCCCGAATATTTGTTTAAATCAAACGTAATTTGAATTTATGCAACACTATGTGGCAATTACTTTGTTGGCTTCGATCGTTGCAGCATGACGGCAGGAAATTGGCGTGTTTTAATTATGATTTATCGGAACTGCGCGTTTTTATTTGCACTTTTACATATTGGCACACGCGTCTGGCAGTGCGTGAGCCAAAAAACTGAAAAACACATCAAAACGATTTCCACCTTATCGGCGCATGAATGAAGCCGCAAATTGCGTTTAATTTGTGAATTTTGTACAATTGATATCGACGGGCAACAAAAAGAAGACACTGCAAGAACCATTCATTTTGCTATGAATTTTCAATTTTTTTTTGTTCTTATTATTATTTTTTTTATCATAATTAAACAATACGAAATCTTGCGTCAGCGCGTTGACTGATAAGAGTACTTGTTAGGTGGAGCACTTTTTTGGGACACCAGTGTAGCCATGTGGCAGTACTATTTTTCAAGTGAACTGTGCAAGCAGCAGAAAAAATAAGATAAATAGAAAGCTGTCGAAAGATAACATTGGCTGGTCAAAAGTCTACAAATGAGTGTAGACTCCAAGCATTATTGAGTATTGGAGACTTTCATTTGCGTAGCTGACAAAGCAATTAATTACGTTACGGCTCGGTAAAAAAGAAGATTGCATTAAATTTTTAGAATGATTGAAAATATATTCCATTTTGGTTAAGTTAAAGCATCGCACAATCTATGTATGTATGTACGTAAATTTGTATCTATGGGCATCCGGCTCGTAATTTACATGTGCCTTTAACATATTACGTAAGTAATTGATTGTGTCTTACGTTACGCTTTTGAGAGCTCACGCAGTATACATATAACAGCTACACACAGCCGCTTAAGGCATGTCGTTAAACGAAGACTTTTGAGCTCAGTGGCCCTGGCGGCTTCTCAAGAGTGGGCCGACAAATGACATGCTAAACTAATTTTTGGTGTCATCCGCACATGTTAAACACTAAATTCAAATGACAGGAGACGCCCCACAAGTGACTTGTCCTGCGGCGTTAGCTTGATTAATTTTTGGCTGACAAGTGCTTAGTAATAGAGAGTGCGAGTGCGACACATAGAGGGGGAGGCAGTGAGCGAGCGAGAGATGAGAGTGTGAGTTGAAAGACACAAATCATTGCGAAATGACTGTTGTGCTGCTCTGTTGCGTTGGTGGGTGCGGGTAATTGTATTTTTAGCGAGTGCAACAACAACATAATAACACAAACCCCGCTACACAGCGAGTGAGAAAGAGAGATAGACAGAGAGAGGGAGGACAAACCGCAAGCGTATAATTCGTTTACTGCTGCTGCTGCTGCTGTCGTTCAGGCTGATTATGCTATGTCGGGCATATTTGAGCACATGCGTGGAGCTGCTGCTACAGACGGTTTCGTTGGAAGACGTTAGGGAATGGGTGGCTGAATTGCATCTACATGAAAATGGTAATATCAAAACAACAACAACGATAAACAATGAACAATGAAATCAGCCATAAACGTAACGAAACGAAATGACGCACAGTCAGACGGATCAATGGCAAGGGATAAGCCCGCCAGCCACCAATAAAGAAAGAACAAAAAACAGAAAACAAAAAAATACCCAAATGGCAATTTGTCTGGGATTAGACGGCCAATGGGTTTGCGTGTCCAAGGCTAAAACTCAATTGACAACTCAATACCAATAATGGCAAACCACCAAATGGGCCAGCCGAACAACACGCTGTCAACGCGGCTAATTACTCACATCCAAATGGTCTGCTGCTTGGCAGGATTCCAAATGCCAAACACTCAACTAGCAACAGCAGCCACAACAATGTTTGGCGCAGTCAACGAACGTTGAAACAAAGCAGATTCAAAAACTCAATCAGGATTCCGTGAAAAAAAAAAAACAACACATAAACCAAAGAGCGCATAAATACTTGACGACACTTTGCATACCCTTTAGCAGAGTAGCCGAAACAATAACGTAGCTTTAATATTTTCTAAAATACCCTTTAACAGAGCTGTTAAGGAAAAACTTGACGTAGCTTAATTTCTTTTAATTCAAGTTAGAGCTCTAACGGAAATTACTCTGCGAATAAAGTACTCCGAAATGCTATATTAGAAAATGTCTATGCGGAACAAAATAATAATAATAATAAAAAAAAAAAAACAACAAATTGCTTCTATAATTCCTCGCAATCCTTCTTTGTACACTATTCGTTTAGCTGCAAGCTGTGTAAGGATCATTGTGGGACTTTTCTGCTTAAAAACTCCCTTGTGCGCCGTTATGGCTCTTCTGCCTGGATTGGTTTGCCCGCCTGCCAGCGAACCGTGCAGCGCGGAGTCGCGTTGAGTCTCGAGTCTTTGTTGTCAGTTTCAATTTCGTCGCATTTATTTCTCTCAACCCACTTGGCTGCAGTGCAGCAACGCATACAAATGGCGGTTAACTGCAGCTCGTTTGGTTGGCTCTGGCCGGCGATTAGAGAAGTGGCCAACTGGGGACAGATCCTGAAATGTAGCTCCTTAAAGCGTCTCGTTGCCGCACACTAATTATGGTTTGCCGCGCGTCGAAAACGGCATCGAATTCATTTTGTTTCTGTGCCACTCCGGATATCGTTGCATACAGTTGGCTGCCTTTTCAATTACCTGGCTGACTGCTTAATGGCCAGGCGTGTGGTTACGTGTGAGCGCACTGAAAACTGCCAAACTGATGGTCACGTGTGTTGGCGATTTACATCGAACTCGGATTGGCTGGCTTTCCAACCATACCCACAAATATTTTCAAAGTTAAGAACATGTTTTTTCCAGCTATATTATAATACAATTTTCCATTGGTTTCTACATATGAGATAATTGGTTTAATTGAGACAAGGACTAAGAGCTAAGTACTAGGAACTAGGCACAGTGTTAGATGCATGTTGTGCTACGATTTTGGCCACCTGAGATTTGGTTGTGGTTGTGCTTTGTATCTACGGATTGGTCACTCTTAAGGCGCCCTTAGAGTGCGGTAGGTTGTCGACGGTTCCAGCGCCAGACAGTTGCATCATCGCACACATAGACCAGAACGCTGGCATCCCGGGAAAATGCTATCTGACGCACAGTCGCCACGCTGCGCGCGTTGTGCAGGGTCGTCATATGGGCACCCTCTGGATCGCTGGGGTCCATTTCCCAGACATAGACCTTGCCCTGCTGGTTGCCCAGTGCGATAACCTTTTGCCATGGATTGAAGCCGAAGCGCACAAACCATATCTCACACTCATCGTATTCGAACTCCGCGATGATGGTGCACGACGAATCGCTGGGCTTGAGCTGCTCGAAGCTCTGATGCAGTTGGCCCGGCTTCCAGCACACGATGGCATTCTCGCAGGACTTGGAGAGCACAAAGTTGCCGAACCATTGCACACAGTCCACATAATTGCGGTGAATGTCGCGCGTTGAGAAGTCCGGAAAGTGTTTGGTGATTGTGGGAAAGGGCAGCGTTGATTTTTCCTGGCTAAACGTTTGTGACAGTTCGATTTTGTGCTGAAACTCCTGAGTGTTGAGGCACCACAGCTTCAGCGAATGATCCATGCCACTGCTAACGATGCGATCGCCGCGCATATTGAAGTCTATGGAGAGCACCTCGTCACGATGGCCCTCAACTCCACCAAAGATGGCAATGCAAACGTGCGTCTGTATATTCCATAGGCGTATGGCATGGTCCTTGCTGCCGGAGAGCAGCAGTTGCAACTTATGCGGATGGAACTTAAGCTCATTGATTGCCTGGCCATGGCCGATATAATTGCCCACCGCCTCGTTCTGTTCAATGTCAATGACACGGATGACTCCACGGTAGCCGGCGGCAGCAAGCAGCGGCGCGGACGTCTTTAAGTTATATGACCAGGCGCAGGTATAGAAAACCTCATCGGGCTGGCGTGAAATGGCATGAATCGGCAAGTGAGTGGCATGTCTAGTTATGGACACATTGGTAGCTACTTACATCCGGATCTGCATAGCAGTGAAGAAGAGTCAAGCCTCCTTTACGCGGACACTCGTAGACGGTGCACCGATTGCTGCCCGCTGTGGCAAACACTTGTGGCTCGTCTTTGCCCAGCAGCGTGTTGAACGACACGCCAAATATGTTGGCGCCATGGTTCTCCTTGACATGCGTGCTTGAAGAGTGAAATTGATTCAGCTTAAGGCCAATTACTTGCTGTCTTTAGCTTCCGACTTACTCGTATTTGTAGGCAGCGCCGCTTTTTGGCTTTGATTTGTGGCTGCGCCGGCCGCGACGTTTGCTGCGCGTGCTGGAGGCCGGCGATTTGCTACGTGAGGTGGTGCTGTTTGTGGTGAAACTCGCCGATTCATCCTGCATGTGTGTGCCATGCGGAAATTAATTGTTGCGATTAAGTTTCGCGTTTTTCATTGCAATTTGTATATTCAACTTACGCCGCACGAATCGTCCGAGTCTTCATTGGGCTCATTGTCGTTTTTCACTTTTTCGCTGCTCATGGCACTTTCAACACACACTTGAGGCACACGGCCGTTGGGCAATAAACAATTTATCTTGTTTGCAAAAAATTTAAGTAACGAAAACAAGTGTTTTTGTTCACTTTTGGCGGCAAGAAACACGCGCAGCGTTGCCACAACACGATCGTCATAGCGGTGGTACATACAATAACATTTCGCTGTTAATTAACACAAGCCATATCGATAGCCAATTGGTACATCGGTACATGTATCGCTTACAGAAGTCAATAATAAAATCACCTATCGATATCTCCCCAAATTAAGTATGCGCGAATAAAGTTTACGCATGCGCAAGCCAATTAAGGAATAATAGTTATTATTGTTTAAGAGTGATTGAAAATATGGAGAGACAATTACATGCCATGAATTTAAATATGAGATAACATTTACAAAAATGCTTAAAATATACGAATTGAATTATTTAAGACTGTACATATGCAACACAAAGGGGTCAGGGTGGTAGTACAGAGCTCGAAGAAAAGGGATAATAAAGGGGGGTGTACAAAAATGGGATTCATATACATACATACATATATATTTACAAAGTTATAGCGATAGAGTATAAAATAAGGGACAGTATCAAGACAATATATACAGCAGTAGAAAAGGAAACGCACACAATTTTTCATATTGTATATAGACAGAAGTTGTAAAGAGTAGTAGAGTTAAGAGACAGACAGAGAGACAGAAAAATTGTTTTAATGTTTGTTTGTATCTGTGGCTTTTTTGTTTGTTAACGTAACGTAACAACGTAAAAGAGAACTTAAAAGTTAAGGATTTCAAAAAAAAAGAAACAACTGAAAATACATATAAGTTATTCTAATTTATGCAATATAAACCATTTGCAAGTACGTTTTATTCGTCGACATTGATCTCGCCCAGACCGGTGTGCGCAGGCGTCTTTGTCGCTGAACGGTCGCTTTATTACTGCAACTGCTACTGCTGGAAACACTTTGACCTGCGTCAGCCTCAGCCCCACCAGCTGACTCAGTTGGAACTGTTGTCGTCGTCGCCGTCGTCGTCGTTGACGTCGCTGTTGTTGTTGTTGTTGTTGCTGCTGGTTCTGCTGCAGCCGTTTGTTCCTCTGTTGTGCATTCGCTGACTGTTTCCAGTGCTTTGGGTACCTGCGTCTCAGAGAGCGACGCCGGCAGAGCTCCTTGGTTTGTTTGATTGTCTGCGGTATTTATTGGTTGTTCAGTCGACGTTACCGTCGCTGTCGTCACCGCTACTTCTGATTCAGGCGCCTTGTGTAAGCTGCAGCTGCCATTCGAGTTGTTGTTGTTTAGATTTTTACAGTTGCCGTTGCAGCTTTTGCTGGCAGCCTCGCTGCGATTGGTCGTTTGGAAGATTGGAGGGGGTCAAGTGTTTTTTTGCACAGCAGTTGGCAGTGAGTAAAAGCGAACCGGTACAGACAACAAATTTATGGTACGGTTCGTTGTTTGGCATATTCATTTTAAATATTGTTTTTTTTTTTTTTTTTTTTAATTTTGTGAATTTCAAAAAATGGTTGGCAATAGAAAGAAAAAATAAATAGAACATCAGTTGATAGTATTTTTTTTAGATTTTTGTTTTGTTTGATTTTTTGCTGGGGTTAAAAGGCAATTTAAGCGAGGAGTACATTAGTTGCCCAAGGAACGCACACACAGAAACACACTAAAGCTCGAGAGCTCGCAGATAAAAAGTGTTGCATACTTTGGGCTGTCGAGCGAGCTCTGCTCGAGTGCAACCCAAACCCAACTGAATCCCACCCATATTTGGCAATGCAAATCGAACAATCGTGTCAGGATGTTGTGCATAATTTATGGCGTATCCAACCATCAGACACACACACCATGTTCGGCGCTGAATGGCGTCCATATTAAATGCGCACTGTGTGAATGACAGGCGCATGGGGAATTTGGGCTTTTAATTGAAACTATGTTCTCATCTGTGGTAAATAATAAAAATGCAATGCTGCCTTTCCAACTGTAAATATTAACTAAAAATGAAACGGCCCCAAATTGAATTCGTTTTGCGTACAGTAACGAGTAATGTTTAGAGCGAGTAACGAGTATCAAATAGGGAATAGTAGAGTCAGAAGATACGAAAACAGTTGTCATCTGGAGAGCACGAGGGGAACCAACTCTATACTTAAGAGTAGAGAGACATCAATAATTTAATACACCGAAAATTTGAACTATATTATGTTGTTGGAAAAATCTAAAATTTATATAAATATATAGAGAGTGAGACAGTTCTTCAATAATACGGTGCTTAGCTTTGCAAACGGGAATTATCACACGATTCTCAGTAGTAATAGTTGCAGTAGTTGTTGTTGTGTATGTTTTGACTAGACTAGCTAAAATACACGCGTTCTCTGTATATATTATGAGTTTGATGAGTTTATAATGAATTGAATATGATAAACTTTGCTGCAGAACTGCAGAGCAAGGCAATAATAGTTTAGGTAAAGTCAGTAGAACAGAAAATAGCACTACAAAGTATGATTCAAAACGAAAGTTAATAGAGTTAGAAAGAGATAGGTAGATAGAGATAGAAAGAGGGGGAAAGAGAAGAACAGTTTAGGAAAGAGATTGAGTGGAATGATCTATGAATTTAGAATGTGTTGGATAAGTATATTTTTTTACTGTTTGATATGAGCGCGCGGTTGGGGCAGGGTTATTAAATGGGGGTAGAGAGACAGATAGAGAGATAGAGTTAAAAAAAATTTAACAAAGTTAACGACAAACCAATATTTTTGAAGTTGGCTCTAAAAAGACTTACTCTTCGCTCTCAACGGATGAAGACGCAATCTGCCCCAATTTACTTTTACCTGATGTGGGGCTTCTGATCAAACACACACACATGTATAAAAAAGAAAAAAACAAATATATAAAAAACGTGTAAAGTTGTAAAAGTGAAAAGAAAAATCAAAAACCAAAAACAAAAAACATAAAGAAAAACCAAGACATTTGTCGATAGCTACATTTGGGTTAAGATTGTTTGGAATGAGAAATGTATGTAAATTCTCCGGTTTATGAAACTTTGTTTGAAGCTTGCCTTCTGTGCGCAATCCAAATAGAAATTCAATTCAATCAGCACTATATGACGAGGAGACATACTAATACGCTAAAGCCTGAACCGATTGTATTATATAAACATTGTATTATATAGAGAATTAGACGATCCCCGAAAGCACCAGCAAATACTTGTATTTAGCCGGTTCGTCGTTAGAGTTAGGATTAGAATAGAATGGTGCAGAACAGCTTCGAGTTCTTCAAGTACACAAACAAAATCAACACATATACAATGCATCCACCTACCTTGACTCGTCTATGAAAACGGCCTCGAGTACACGCGCCGCATAGTGCAGGTTCCGCTGCATATCCTCGTAGGCGACGGTCTCATGGTCCATCCGTCGCAGCAAGCTGCGTATTCTGCGAATGCAAAACAATTAATTATTAGCCAACCAGAACTTGTATCATTGGTAGAAATAAACCAACAATTTAAGTATCCGAATCGAAAAATGCTTGAAAACTAAAGATGGATAAACGTTGTACAATATTTTGTAAGCCAAATACCTAGGTTAATATAACCTAGTACTTGTTCCCTAGTCTAGATGATAAGCTGAAGTCTTCTATTTAAATTATTGAACTCTTTAATTAAAAATCCATTGGAAGTCAGATATGGAATTCAGATATCCAAAGATTTTTTTTTAATATTGAAACAACATCTTGTGTATAGCTTTACAAGGAAATTTATATCTGTTTAATGGTGCTCCAACTACGTTTATAAATAAAAAAAGATATATTTTGTTCAATTGCTTCAATTTTATGTACACAAAATAAGTTTTATTATGGTATATGGGTATTTTTTATAAACTCTATTCTATATATGTGTATATACTAGTATGAAATCTTGACTCAATGTAAATATATAAATTTGATTAAATTTAGCATATTGAAAATAATGAAATTCTAGGAGTAAATATTTGATTATAAACATCAAAATATATATACATTTTTGTTGTTATTTGTGTATTTAAAAAAAGTACTAATATCATAATTTACCGTAATATTTCTAAAAATTATTTGTAGTATTATTATATACATATTAGAGTCTTATGACAATTTCTAATCAAGACTTGTTTGGACTATGGTTTCTATAGCTTCTAGAAGATGTAGCCTGAGCAAGTCTTTTGCAATAGCTGGAGGTTATACTATATTTGTTTAATGTAACTGTAATTTTAAAGAGCAATAAACTTTTATAAAATCTTAATAAATAGGACATGAGTCCTCACAAGTGTGATCCCTCATTTGTGTAAATAATTTTGATTTTTATCGTTTGTATATATCTATATAAATGAAACATAAAACTCACCTGACAGCTGCTTTGTTAAGAGCATCTGGCGTATCGACAGGTGGCAAATTTTCCGTATCCCATACATCACCGGCGGAAGTATTTGATACCGATTGTAACGATTGACGCGACGATTGATCCATTAGTGGATGGAACATCGAGCTTGGGGCGGCGAGTACGGAGTTCTGATATTCGGTCGTATCGCGACTTATTCTATAATCGAAGGTTTGTCGCTCGATTGGCGCCGGTTGCGCTGGTACATCGGTTACGAAATTCGTTTGATTTGGCGACGACGGTTGCATTTTGCCGGTAAGATTCGATTGAGCTCGGGACGAGCTATCGACCGCACGCTTATCGCCGGCTGTTGAGGATGAGTTTCCGTTGGAGCCCTTACCACTAAGTCGCTCAGCGAGAGTCTCGCTGATCGGCGTTTGGAAGAAGCTAATGCTGCCCGACGATGGCGAGGCGATTGATTGCGATTGTCCGTCGATCTGTGTGAAGCTCTTGCGACTGTTCGAGCGCCGTACAATGGTGAGTGAGCCGTGTTCTATAAATAACAAGAGCAGCAATTCGATTGATGGTCAGTATTGCTCAGATGTATTCGGTGACTTTCATTTAAATAAATTGACTGCCTGAAACTAACTGAACACACTTGAGAGACGTAATGCTGGGAAACGTAACGTACAGTTGACGTAAAATAAAATAAAACTATACACAAATGTTTATAAACTGAAATTACAGAAGTGAAAAAAATGTCTACTAAGTCGTTATAGGGCGTATGAGACGAGAAACTGGATCAGAAATAAGTTTTGTCATACGTTATGCAAGTATTTTTGATAATTCCTCTAAGTACATATTTCTTATAAGAATGAAAGACTTTGTTTAGCTGAGCGATCACACATTTCTTCCAAGTAGTTCCTAAAAGTCTTTATTCTAAGTATTTCCTCTAACTGTTTCCTTTAAGCATTTCCTCCAAGTCTTTCATGCTTAGCTAAACGATCACACACTTAACTTCATTCTACTGCACTGCACAACTGACTTCCACAAGGCTTGGGCGACTGAGGAAATGCTGCAGCTGCTGCCCTTTATATAGGGCGACTTTCATTTAACGACTGAGTAGTACTCAAATGTTGAGCCTGACAGCAGGTAGAGGTCGTTGCAGGCGAGATTTAAGTGACCAATGGGAAGACTCTCTGCTTCTTCAAGCATACTAGCATACTGCTTCATACATATAGACAATTTGAATAATCTGAGAGGCAGATAGGCAGAAGTAGAAATGGAGAGAGACAGATAGACAGACAGACATATGGTATATAGACTAATCTCGTCTGGCTGTGGACACAAAGGGAGACGGAGAGAGAGAGAGAGAGAGAGAGAGAGAGAGAGAGAGAGAGA